AGGCTAAATTTCTATAATTTTGGAGACTGAATTATATTTACATTTATTTTTATATTACTAAAATAAATCTCATTTGGGATATTCAATTACATTACCAATTTCCAAATGTTGCTTTGGTGCACCACTCAATTCACATGGCCATCATCTTGGTTTCTAAGATGGCATGTATCTGGCACCCAAGATGGTGGCAATGTACAAAATATTTTAAAAAGTAGTACAAACACGTCTGCTAAAATGGGGAGGGAAAGAGAGAATGTGCTGTTTTAGGTATTTAGCCTACAGAGAGAAACAAATATAGAAACAAAACGTTAAAATTTAATGAAATAATTTCAGCTGGTACATTAATTTTGTGGTGAGCATTAGGGGTCGCAATCCGGGATCCCGAATTTCAAAAATACCGGAATACCGGACCATAATTGATGTTCGAAAATACCGGGATTAGATTTATGAAAACCAGAATTTTCGATAATCCCGGGATTTCATTTTCAAATATTTTTTTCCTCGTTTTTCTTAGTTAAAGCAAGACATATCAATAATTTATGAGATGTTCAAAGAGAGCCGACCGATGGGCTAGATCTGTTTACTCTTATTTGTCAAGAATCATGACGTTGTGATTAGTTGTTTTTTTTTGTGTTTTTTTGCATCGTGCGTGTGTAGTGAGTGTGGAGACGAGTCACGACGTCAAGGTTGAGGATTGGTAAGTAAATGTTTTCAGATTATTGACAAAGAAGTGATTGGTATAGTCGAATGAAGATCGAATTTTTACTTCCATTAAGAGTTTGTATGGAAATAATAACAAGTTGCACTCAAATCACGGGGTCAATGTTTATTTGATAACAAAAATGGTTGATTGAATTCTTTCAATTACGCTAAAAAACCTACATAATTAAATATATGAGTAAATCCGTATTTTGATAATCAAATACCTTAAGTTTAAGACACAGAAAAATTATGTTTCTTCTATTTTGTGATAACAATATTGAAAAGTTACATTCACCCCATAATTGATTTTCGAGCTATTTTGTCTCAGGCTGAATTTCCCAGTTTGTCTGTACCGTACTTAGCCAAACATTTACATGAAAATTTAAACATTAAAAAATTTACACATTTAACCTATTCCATTTAAATAATAATTTTTTGTTAATGATCTGTTTTCCCTTCAGGTTGATAGAAAGAAATGGAGGACCCTGAAAAAAAAACAACCTAAATTTCAAAAGTATATGAAACTATCGGAAACAAAGACATATGTTTGGCATCATTTCTTGAAAACAACGTACAATCTCTCAGCTAAATGTATTAGATGTAACGAGACACTTAAATAATTGGGAGGTATAACTTCAGGCCTTCACTCTCATTTAAAGTCGGTACATTCCATTGACTACTTGGACGTTTTTCTAAGGCCAGATGCCAAAAACCTATCGTGGATATTCAAAAGCTTGGTCAGACAGCGGATTCCTCGTTGGAAATATCTATGAACAATGAATTTGAACATCTTGGATCTAAGCATGACGAACTTAAAGACACACCACGCTTAAGAGACAAATAGAAATTGAAATACAAAAGAAACTTCAGGCTTAGGATAATACTTCCAGACCAACGAATGGAGACATTGATACATTGAAAAAAATAGAAATGGCTTTATTTTAGAATGGCAGTTCAAGAAGAAAATATCTAGAAATTGCTTATGATAGCCTAAGGTCTATTCCGCAGAGCAGTGTGGAGTCAGAGCGGGTGTTCTCTTCATCAGGTTACTTTTGTAACTATTTGCGGTTATAGTTAAGTGACCACACATTATACACTTTGTAATTTTTACAATTTCTTTATTTAGATTTGATGAACAATTAAAACACCAATTATTTTATTATTTGATTAATAAAACTATTTAAAATAAAAAGTTAAGACTATTATTTTTGTTCGTCTGAAGTTAAACATTTGTGTTATCGTTAAAAGCTTATTAAAAATCAAAATGTGTTATTTTTTCTTAATGTTTTTATTTCATTGATAAATCCTCACCTCGAATCTCGACTAAATATTCTCTGAAGATCAAAAACATCGAAAATACCGGGATTCCGGTATTCGTAAACTTCAATATTGAAAATACCGTTTTTGGCAAGAGTGATCGGTTTTGCGACCCCTAGCGAGCATAGCAACTTCTTTGTATCCCTCTAGATATGTAGCAAGAACAGTCAACAACCTGAGGTGGCCCCCTTTCCTGGCATAATTTCAGCCAGTACATTAATTTCATGTTGAACATGACAAAATTATTGTATCCCTCTAGTCTCTAGATATGCGGCAAGAAGTGTCAATAGCCTGCAGTCGCTCCTTTCCATCAACTAAAACAACATATGTACTACAGTTATAGTTATATTTGCACAGTGTGGTAAGATAAGTGTAGGTATGACAAAAAACAATACAAAATATTTTCTTTTAATGAACATCTGACAGTTTCATAAAATACACTATTAAACACTGCATGGTTTCACCAAAAGAAATCCAAAGGTTGTCCGAAAAATCAAGGCAAACCCACTTACCAAAGTGCCGGAAAATTTAAATATTAAAATTAAAACACCTAATAAAATATATCAATTCACATCATTCCATCTGCGTATTAATATTGAAATAAAGAGAAAAGTTAACTCTAGTAACAATCCAAAAATAAACAAAAGGGACAGAATCGTACACTGAAACTCAAAGTATCACTTCGAACTAACATTAGCGTTGGCACTGTCACACTGACATAAATGGTCTTGTATAAATATAAAAATGTCCATGGACATAGTATAGTATCTTAGTTTGTGGAACCTTTCCCTTTTTTTTTTGGTTTTGCCTGATCAGTTATTGAGTATCAGAGTCAGATGACTCAATCAGTTCAGTTAATAAAGTTCAAGTATTGAAATAGATAAAGATGACATTTTTTTGTTGTAGGATTGGGTCAGCAGCTGGCTTTTTTTTAGTGAATATTAATTCACCTCTACGATGGGCTGTTATTGTTAATGTTAGTAGACTCTAACTTAGTATAATATACTTTTTTAAACTAATGAACTTGAAATGGCCACTTCAAGTTAACCAATATTTTTTGTTATTGACAATTTTTAAAAATATAGAAATATAAACTGACAACTGTTGAACAATTTAAGTTACATATTATTTGTTCACAAAATTCTCTTTAAGGCAGCGGTTCTCAACCTGGGGGTCGCGGGACCCTTTTCCAGGGGTGGCCTAAGACCACCTGAAAACACATATCTTTACAGCTATGAAGTAGCAACGAAAATAATTGTATGGCTGGGGGTCACCACGACACGAGAAACTGTATTAAAGGGTCGCCGCACTAGAAAGGTTGAAAACCACTGCTTTAAGGGCTAGGGCACGGGTCGGGAACCTTTTTGTCTGAGAGAGCCATGGACACCACATATTTTGAAAAGTAATTCTGTGAGAGCCATACATTATGTTTAAAAATAAAAATTCAAGTAAATGTGTGCATTTTGTGTAATTTCAACACTAAAAATGCAATAATTAGGTCTCTGAATTCTTTTTAATAACATTGTTACGCTGTTGCTAATCAATAACGAGTATTTCTTACTATTAATGCGACTTTTTTTATATAATCGAACATTTGTCTGCGAGCCAGATGCAGCCTTCAATAGAGCCACATCTGACTCGCGAGCCATAGGTTCCCCACCCCTGGGCTAAGGCAAGCTGAAGATGAATTTACATTTTAAAATAATAATTATGTTAAACTATAAATTATCATGTAATTATTTTAGGTTAGTGAAATAATAATTTTGATGCTTCTGCTCTAATTCTAATATAAATTATGAGCCATAATATGAAAGGGGGCATTGTCTTGGTAGGTATTCACATATTGCATGAAGTAAAGGCTTGCAAAGCAGTCATATTTGTAGATTTGTACAAATCAAAGAGTCTGTGACTCTAAACACGGTAGCTCCTCTTCTCCCCACCCCAGAAAAAATCTATAAGGCCCTGATTTTATCAGGTTAACATCCTTTGATACTACACTAAGGGGCCATCCATAAATGGAGTCACTCAAATTTTGACAATATTTTACCCCCATCATCACAATTCTTGTCAAATAGTTAACCTTTTCGTTACCGATGACGTTGATAAGACATCACGATCACCCACTTTCAATTAACAATGAGGTCACATTGTGCGTATAAGAAAAAACTTTTCTGAAACACCAAGTATTGCAATGCTATATATTTCTTTATTTTTTAATCTATAGAGAAGTTAATAAGCGAATCGGATAGAGAAGGAAAAATACAGAATTTTCTTCTTAAAGCTTTTTATTGCTGAGCAAAAATTGATCCCCAAAACCAGCAGTAATGAAAGGGTTAAATATAATGTCACAAACCTCTACACCCTGCCCCCCCCCCCCCCCAATCACTCTGTCCACCATATGATGCTAAGCAGAGTTATGCCCCTTCCATATTAGAGAGTTTACACCTGTCCTAGTAGTAGTTTAGGCAGGACTTGGTTAAATGAGGCCCAGTGCATTTGCTGTTTTTTTGTTTTGTTTGATATACTTCAGAGCCATTTGCCTGTTATTTCATTGCTGTCCTCGTAATCTTAAGTAGGCGTAAGATTTAATATTAATAAAACACAAAGAACCAATCAGATGCAGAAGGTAAAATTCAGTGGACAGAAATTCCAAAACTCCTAGCAAACACTCACTTGTTATACTAAACAAATATCTTCTGGGGTTTGAATATTTTGTTGAAAATGAATTTTATGTACTATGTGTGCAAAAAGAGTCAAACTATTAAGGCACCTCTAAACGCTTTAAAAAACAAAATTAGGTCTCTTCCGTTCTTCACTGCGTAACATGTTAAAGATCCGCATCAGCAGATTATGTAAATATTATGTAATTTATGATGTATTTATTATTTTTCATTGATGTCTTTTTATTGTATGAACAGCAGCTTTCAGCAAATCCAGCGAGAATGGAGAAAAACCATAGTTCACCTATAGCTAACCCTAACCCTGTGAGAAAATTACTTCCAGAAAATCCTGATGATTTGCTGAGGGTTATAACTGAAAACAACGTTATTGTAAGTAGACATTGATTCATTTGGGATTGTGCTTGCTATATTTTTTTCCTTTTTTTTTTTTTTTTGGTGTTAGAACTGGCCGTAACAATAAAAGCTCTAGCAATGATAAGCTTGATAGGCATAGACACAACATAATATAATCAATGCAGGCCAATTTGCAGATCAACCGGGAGTTGGCTTTTGGTGGCTTAAGTAGACATTGATTCATTTGGGATTGTGCTTGCTATATTTTTTTCCTTTTTTTTTTTTTGGTGTTAGAACTGGCCGTAACAATAAAAGCTCTAGCAATGATAAGCTTGATAGGCATAGACACAACATAATATAATCAATGCAGGCCAATTTGCAGATCAACCGGTAGTTGGCTTTTGGTGGCAGTTTAATCAGTCAATCTGCCTGAAAGATGACAAGAGGTTAGCTGTAAATCTAGAGAATTTCAATGAGTTATTGGATGTTTTCAAAGGGATTTTATCAAATTTTAACAAGCTTGGGTGTTGACAAGACTAAGTCTGCTTTCATTTCCTGCCCTCTTCCTCCCACCCATCACCATTCACTTTCTAATTTCATTTTTTGTTTCTCTGACTTGGCCAATGTTTTCACAATTACACGGGCACACACCTAATGGTAATAACATCAGACTAATTTTTCTGTCATGACCTGTCAAGACTTCAGAAGCTTGAGATGATGTAACCTAGCGGCCGTCTCCCAATCTTTTTCCTCAAAGATATGAGGGGTTGTTTTCAGTTTGATTGAATTGCAAAATGCCGCTCCAAATTCCTCAGGCTCTGTTGCCATGGTTATAAAAGCTGCATACAGTGTGAAGTCTAAAAATGGTGTCCACCAGTATGTAAACAAATGTGCCGCAGTAAAAAAAATATTTTGACGCCCCTTGTTAAACAAGTTAAAAAAGTTGAGGGGTGGTTGGCTACATTCACTCCATTGTTGCAAGGTCAGAAATGTAAAATACAATAATTTTGAATAACCTTTGCCTTAATGTTGGATTACAGGGAAGAGCTGTCCGTCAGTTGCTTAATGAAGCAGTCAACAACATGTACTCTGGCAGCGATGCAGACTGCTTAGATGTGTGTGAGCCACTGCTGGACAAAATCTGGGAGGAGCTCAACACTGGTTATTGGAAAGACGTTGATATTTGCTGGAGGGAGGCCTATTCCCTTGTGTCGGTATTGAAAGCTTTGAGCCTCAGCGCCTTGCTCTCCGACACCTCAAGGAACATTGACCACATGACCATCTTGAGAACCTGCGACATGGGGCTTCTGATGGGCGCACCAATATTGAATAACATTTTGGCCAGGATGTCCCGTGAGTTTCAAGAAGCTTTCGGGGTCTTAGGCAGCTGGAGGAGAGAAATCTCTAATGAAATAAAAAATGATGTTGCGGACAATCTAATTATTTTAGGCAGTGATGCCAGTTTGTGTCAAGATGAGAGAACTCCTGAGAAAAAAATGAAGTTTGAAGAAGATGTTTTAACTGAGAAAAATATGGATTTACATATAGAGGAATGTTTAAAACATAAGATGTGTGACGGCATTCGGACCGAACAATCCGACGTCAATTCAGGGACAGACTCTGAACAGAAATCCAATCCACCAGCTGTTACTCTACCACAGCACGTTAAAACTCAGAAGATGTCAGATGTGCCCAGATGCTCGTGTCCCTCCGTTGAAATGTTCCAAGCTATGTTCTGTGAGCCGGGCCATCCTGTGGTCATCACGGATGCCATCGGCTATTGGCCCGCCTTCACCATGCGCAGATGGACACTTGATTACCTGCGGAGAGTTGCTGGCTGCCGGACGGTCCCTGTAGAGATCGGGGCCAGGTACACTGAAGACTCCTGGACACAGAAACTCCTGACCATCAATGAGTTGATTGATAACTATGTGACCAAGCCCAACCCTGGCACAACAGCATACTTGGCACAGCATCAGCTTTTTGATCAGGTGAGAAATGGAATATGAGATGTAGGCCTACTGCAGAATTTTCCCTGTCTGAGAGGAATTGACTTTGGGCGCTTTGTTAGCTTATATCTAATTTAAATTACATTTAATACATTGAATTTTCTCTGGTTTATTGATATGAAAGTTTGGATTCCTAGCTAGAGAAGGTAATAATAATATATCTAAAATTCGTATTTCTCTGGTTTAGTGATATGACAGTTTGATTTCCTAGCTAGAAAAAGTAATAAAAAATATCTAAAATGCAAATTTCCCTGGATTGACTGCCTATCAAAGAATTATTTTCTTTTATTAACCATTCATATAGCAAGCAACTTACTCTCCATACTTGGCACACAATGGGTTTAAAGAGACTGAACACTCAACAGAACAAGTTTTAATGTTGAAGTACAAAACATTTGAAATATAAATGTTATAGTATTCATTCTTGTGATTTTCTAAAATAAATGTATTGTGGACTTGAATATGACCCTTGTTCCATGGAATTTCCACCATCTAGACTCTATAAACTTAATTGCCTACTTAAACATTGATCACTCCCGTCCAATCAGGTGTGGGAGTTACGTGATGACATCAGCGTGCCGGTCTACTGCTGCCTGGGTGAGGAGGAAGATGTGGACATAAATGCCTGGTTCGGACCGGCTGGCACCATATCTCCATTACACCAAGATCCCAAACACAATTTCCTTTGCCAGGCAAGTGCCCTCATGTTAGCAGCATTTATTTATTGTGGCTTGATCTCTATCCATCCCTGTGGCGCTACAGCCCATGTAGGGCTTTGGCCTGCCTCACTACTTCCTTCCACTCAGACCTAACTAATGCCTTTCTTTTCCATGCTTGTACTTTCAGCTGCTGTAGATCTTTTTCTACATCATCTATCCACCTAAGCCTAGGTCTGCCTTTGAGCCTTTTTCCTCTGGGGTATTGGTGATGTACCCTCTTCGTTCCTCTGTCATTTGGCATTCTCTCTAGGTGTCCTGCCCAGCGTAGCCTGCCTCTTTTTATTTCTGCCACTATCGTGGGATCCTGATATAGACTGTATAACTCCTGGTTGGTTCGTATTCTCCATCCATATTCATCCTTTGTTGGCCCATATATTTTCCTGAGAACTTTCCTCTCCCATGTGTTTAATAGGTTTTCTGCTGTTTTTGTTAGGGTCCAAGTTTCACTTGCATATGTTACAACTGGTCTGATCACATTTTTATAAATAGTTTTCTTTGTTTCTCTTGTAATGTTTTTACTTTTGAGTATTTTCTGACTACTGAAGTATGCCCTGTTTCCGGCTGATATTCTTTCTTTTATTTCTGTTAGTAATTCGTTTCTTTCATTTAACAATGATCCTAGGTATTTGAATTGATTTACTTTTTCAAAAGTTTGGTTTCTAATTTTAATTGTTTCATCTGTTTGTTCCTCTCTTATCATGGTCATGTATTTTGTTTTTTGGTTGTTAACTTCCAGCCCTGCTTGTAGAGATGCGTCTTCTAATTCAATAAAGGATTTTGATATGTCTTTAATACTTTTCCCTAGAAGTGCTATGTCATCAGCATATGCAAGATACTGAAGTGGTTGGTTGTAGAGTGTGCCCGTTGGTTGTGGGTCTTGAGTTTCCCTCAGAAAGTATCCTGTTATCGTTCCTCGAGTGTCAATGTGTATGTTTCTAATAACTCTCTCTAATGTTAGGTTAAAGAGCATACAAGACAGTGAGTCTCCCTGTCTTAGGCCTCGTCTAATATGAAATTCCCTTGAATATTCTCCTTGAATCTTGATTTTGCCTTTTGAGTTGTTTAGTGTTACATGTATTAGCCTTGTCAGTTTGTTGGGTATCCCAAACTCCTGCAGAGTCTCATATAAATAGTTTCTTTTGATGCTGTCATAGGCCATTTTATAGTCGACATAGAGTTGATGTACTGGTATATTAAATTCATAGCATTTCTCTAACAGGCATCTGATGGTGAAAATCTGATCAGTCGTTGATCTGTTAGGCCTGAATCCGCATTGGTAATCACCTAGTATTTCTTCAGTGTAAGGTTGTAGTCTTTTGGCAATAAGTTTCGTCAGTATTTTGTATGTAACATTTAATAGGGAGATTCCTCTGTAGTTTGTGCACTGAAGTTTGGAGCCTTTCTTGTGTATTGGGGTTATTAATGCTGTTTCCCAATCTGTCGGAATTTTCTCCTCTTGCCAAATTTTAGTTATAAGTTTATGTATCTGATTGTGTAGTTCTTTTCCTCCATATTTAATCAGTTCTGCTGTGATAAGGTCTTGTCCGGGGGCTTTGTGATTTTTCATGTAATTAATTACCTCTTTGGTTTCTTCTAGTGTTGGGCATTGTATAAAAGGGTCTGGTCCTCCCTGTGGGAGTTGATAATCTTCTTCTTGTCTATTGTCTGCATTCAGTATGTCCTCAAAATATTCAGCCCACCTCTCCAATACTTTACTATTTTCCGTGATTAATTCTCCATTGTGGCTCTCACACATTTGCGGTCTGGCTTGGTATCCATTCTTTTCATCTTTTATCTTCATGTACATTCCTCTTATATTTCCCTCTCTTGATAAATCTTCTATTTCCTTTAGTTTATCCTTTTCCCATTCCCTCTTTTTCTTCCTACACATTTTGTTGCTTTCCTTCTGGCTTCCTTGTATGTTTGTGTTGTCTTTCTGGTTTCCCTTTGTAACATGATCATTCGTGCTTTGTTTCTTTCTTCCACAGTCTCTCTGCATTCATTGTCGTACCAACCTACTCTATTGTTGGTTTGCTGAAATCCCACTACTTTTTCTGCTGATCTTTTAATGGCATTTTTTATCCTATCCCACTGATCATTTATGTTGTTTTCCCCGTTTATTTCCTCGTGTGATGCTTCTAATTGTGCTTCTACTTCATTCTGGTAAGCTTTTGCAGTTAATGGGTCTTTGGGCAGCTTTTGGTAATCGTATCGTTTCTCTCTTTGATTACAACCATTGTGAACTAAGCTTATCCTCTGCCTATATTTCACCTTTACAAGTAGATGGTCCGAGTCCGCATCTGCTCCTCTAAGGCTTCTAACATCTAATATATCTGATCCATGTCTTCGATCTATTAAAACGTGATCAATTTGATTGCGGGTGATTCCATCTGGTGAGTTCCACGTAGCTTTATGTATATTTTTGTGCGGAAACTTGGTGCTGCTGACTGACATCCCTTTTCCTACCGCGAAGTCTATGAGTCAGATCCCATTGTCATTGGATTCTTCGTGCAGACTTTCCTTGCCAATAGTTGGCATGAACACCTTTTCTTTTCCTATTTTGGCATTGAAGTCTCCAATCACTATTTTAATATCATGTCGTGGTGCCTCTTCGTAGATCTTTTCCAGTGTTTCATAGAAGGATTCTTTATCCTGATCTTCCGCGTCTTCCTTTGGAGCATGTACATTTATTAGTGTTATATTGAACCTTTTTCCTCGCACACGCAAAGAACACAGTCTTTCGTTCTCTGGTTTGAAGGGCTTGATCTCTGCTCTTTGTTTAAACTTCTTGCAAGTAATTCTAAAGTCTTGGAGAGGCTCAGATTTAATACACAATTTTGAATGTCATTGAGAGACATAATGATACGAGGCCATGACAGGCAATTCAGGCTCATACCAGCAAGAAGCCAGTATAGGAGCTGCTCATTCCTGCCCAAGACAATCAGGGACTGGAACAATCTTTCAAAAGGAACGGTTGAGGCGACAACACTAGACACATTTGTGTCTATTGCCTCAAGCCTTCTTCTGTGAAATTTCCTCATCAACACCAGGAACAGAAACATTGCAAATCCCATCTACATGCATAGGAGCCAAAATGATCAATAAATTGATCGTGGGCCCTTAAGATATAGAAGAAGAAGAAGAAGAAGAGATTGTTTTAAAAGGTTGTCAGATTTTTATTTACATACTTGGATGTGTAAAAATGTAGGTAAGTAGTTAAAATTTGACCGTACTCATTCATAATTTTCTATTCACATCACCATCTCCTTTGATCTTTTTTTCCATAGTACAAAATGCTCATGTGATAATGTCTACGATTGAGTAAAAGCTTTTATGTGTTATTGAGGCTCCCAGAAAATGGTTGGACTGGACATACATGAACTTTCTTTGCCACCTTACCCCCACCAACTCAAACATTTTGTTCAATGTCTCAGCTAAAAAATCTATTTTAAGAATTGAAAATGTTTTTTTTGTTGTTTACTTTGTCTAGGTTATGGGGGAGAAGTATGTAAGGCTGTATTCTAAAGAACACTCGGACAGTATGTACCCACACGAAGGTCACTTGCTCCATAACACCAGTCAGATTGACCTGGATTCACCCGACCTCGATCAGTTCCCTAAGTTTGCCAACCTTCCATGCCTGGAATGTGTGCTGAAACCAGGAGACATGCTATACATCCCCCCAGGCCACTGGCACTATGTAAAGTCACTGTCAGTCAGTTTCTCTGTCAGCTTTTGGTGGCAGTGACATCTAGGACAGTGATTCCCAAACTTTATCAGTGGGGCTAATCAGTAGGATTTTTATTTATATTTGATGTTGCAGCAGGAACCAGTATTGCATTAATGGATTATCACTTGTATTTCTTTTGTGGACCTGCAGGCCGAGGTCTCACGGATCTGCAGGCCAAGGTCTCGGGGTCTCATGGATCAGCTCTTATCCCATTGGTCTGAAGGACAAGCTAAGACAATACTTCTATCCTTCTTTGAAGAGGCAGCATTTGGAGTTGTATAAGACTTAGATAAAATTTGTTCATAACTAGTTTGACTTTTTGTATAGTGCCTTTGAAACCTAATGTACAGCTTATTATTGTTTGTTATTAATATTTTAGGTTCAATGATGCCTTTGTCTAATATAGAATTGCTGTCCATCATTTCAAATCAAGAATACACCCACACACCCCCGATTATCCATTTGATCTGTTCATTTAATGTTCTTTAACTCGGGAGTGTGCAAACTATGGCCCGGCAACTAATGTTAGGCGGCCCCAGACAGCATTTATAAATTTTTAAAAATTTAATTTTTTTTAAGTTATCTTGTTTAATTTTACAGGTTTTACAGAATATCATGTACAGTTATGATTGTTTTAACATTTTATAAAATTTCTTTCCAATTTTTCTATTTTTGAAAACAGTCCTTGACATTCTTAATGTAATGCTAATATGGCAAAATATGTATGCTGCCCTGCAATAGCTTTTCATTTGTCAATGTGGCCCTACGCACACAAAGTTTGCCTACCCCTGCTTTAACTCATCTCGGACTTAAATTAATGATGGTCTCAACAATCTCTGTAGTGTAGTGTGGTCTTAATGTAATTTATTTAAATTTAAGTGATAACTAATACAAATATTTCCTTTGCAGACATGTTGGTTTCTAAATGAAGAAAGTTTTTATGAGTCTCTGATTAATAAAGGTTTTTTTTTGTAAAGGAAATCAGAATTTTTAATGAGCCTTCCTCTTGAGTACTAACCGCCTCACTGTAGCAATTGTTAGTATGAAGGTACTAAATGTATCTGTCAACTATTTAATGGACCTTCCTCTTGAGTACTAACCACCTCACTGTAGCAATTGTTAGTATGAAGGTACTAAACGTATCTGTCAACTATTTAATGGACCTTCCTCTTGAGTGCTAACCGCCTCACTGTAGCAATTGTTAGTATGAAGGTACTAAATGTATCTGTCAACTATTTAATGGACCTTCCTCTTGAGTACTAACCGCCTCACTGTAGCAATTGTTAGTATGAAGGTACTAAATGTATCTGTCAACTGTTTAATGGACCTTCCTTTGAGTACTAATCGCCTCACTGTAGCAATTGTTAGTATGAAGGTACTAAATGTATCTGTCAACTGTTTAATGGACCTTCCTTTGAGTACTAACCGCCTCACTGTAGCAATTGTTAGTATGAAGGTACTAAATGTACCTGTCAACTGTTTAATGGACCTTCCTTTGAGTACTAACCGCCTCACTGTAGCAATTGTTAGTATGAAGGTACTAAATGTGTCTGTCAACTGTTTAATGGACCTTCCTTTGAGTACTAACCGCCTCACTGTAGCAATTGTTAGTATGAAGGTACTTAGTACTAAACATATCTGTCAACTGTTTAAAACCAACAAAACTCAATCTTTCTTGTAAATAAACAATTATAATCCTTTTCTTTATTATGATTATTACAAAAACTACAATCAATAATTCATATTAATATCTTTGAATCAAAATGTCTACATCAGAAAATCCTGACAAAAGCTCGACTCACGTTGTTGCTTGTCTGCAGCCACCTGGTGGTGGACTGAATAAAGAAGGGTTACAAAAAAATGTGTTGGTCATTAGACATTGGATGTTGGACATTGGATGTGTTCATTTCATTGGACATTAGACATTGGATGTTGGACATTGGATGTGTTCATTTCATTGGACATTAGACATTGGATGTTGGACATTGGATGTGTTCATTTCATTGGACATTAGACATTGGATGTGTTCATTTCATTGGACATTAGACATTGGATGTTGGACATTGGATGTGTTCATTTCATTGGACATTACTGACATAGAACTTGTCTATTTCAATTTAAAAATAAAAAATTCTAATAACTGATTCTCTGGAATTCCTGAAAATACAGAATTTTGATCTCCATGTTATCTAGATTGCAATCTCTGCTAATGACTGCCATAAAAGTGTATTATCTAAATCACAGGTCCCCAACCTTTTTTGGGTTGAGACCCCATTTCATAGAAGTAAAGTTACCATTGACCCCGAAACATTAAAACAAATTAAAATGTTAAGAGATAACACTTCAAAAATAAATTCTGTACTGTGAAATTATTCTAACTTTATTAAAAAACTTTATTTAAAATGTAAATTTCTTAAAATCTTTTTGTTTTAAATTTTACTTTTTCAGCCAGTCCATGCAGAGAAACCTCTGCAACCAGGGACATCATTTGGGTATTGCAAGATGGAGCATTTACCCCCTAAACCCCCCCTTCCCTCTTTAAAATTTCCAAGTTTTATTTACATTGCTAATTAATGTGACACCTCCAGTAATAAACAACAAGCAGACCAAATTTTGGTTTTGCCCCTCCCCCCAATCACATAAAATATTGCAATATTATCCATAACCTCAATCTTCATCACATAAAATATTGCTATATTATCCATAACCTCAATCTTCATCACATAAAATATTGCAATACTATCCATAACCTCAATCTTCATCACATAAAATATTGCAATACTATCCATAACCTCAATCTTCATCACATAAAATATTGCAATATTATTCCATAACCTCACCTTCCTGACATAAAATATAGCAATATTATCCATAACCTCAATCTTCATCACATAAAATATTGCAATACTATCCATAACCTCAATCTTCATCACATAAAATATTGCAATATTATCCATAACCTCAATCTTCATCACATAAAATATAGCAATATTATCCATAACCGCAATCTTCATCACATAAAATATAGCAATATTATCCATAACCTCAATCTTCATCACATAAAATATTGCAATATTATCCATAACCTCAATCTTCATCACATAAAATATAGCAATATTATCCATAACCTCAATCTTCATCACATAAAATATTGCAATACTATCCATAACCTCAATCTTCATCACATAAAATATTGCAATATTATCCATAACCTCAATCTTCATCACATAAAATATTGCAATATTATCCATAACCTCAATCTTCATCACATAAAATATTGCAATATTATCCATAACCTCAATCTTCATCACATAAAATATAGCAATATTATCCATAACCTCAATCTTCATCACATAAAATATAGCAATATTATCCATAACCGCAATCTTCATCACATAAAATATAGCAATATTATCCATAGCCTCAATCTTCATCACATAAAATATTGCAATATTATCCATAACCTCAATCTTCATCACATAAAATATAGCAATATTATCCATAACCTCAATCTTCATCACATAAAATATAGCAATATTATCCATAACCTCAATCTTCATCACATAAAATATTGCAATATTATGCATAACCTCAATCTTCATCACATAAAATATTGTAATATTATCCATAACCTCAATCTTCATCACATAAAATATAGCAATATTATCCATAACCTCAATCTTCATCACATAAAATATTACAATATTATGCATAACCTCAATTTTCATCACATAAAACATCCTTTAACTGTAGTCTTTTCATTTCAAGCCTAAACATGTCTTGTTCCACTATTTCCTTTGTCACATTAAATATTGCAATGCTATTATGGCACACAAGTTTACAGGCATTCATTCATTCATTCATGTTAATTTTATTGTTTGCAGCATTTATCTAAAATGCTCTCCCCTATGTGACATTTAAATTTGTTATGAATGACATTTAGATTGTGAATGTGTGACATTTAGATTTGGCTTGTGTGACATTTTCACATAGTGTATGTTTTTGTAATTTCTAAAATAAATACCATTTCTTTTTTACTATGATCAACATTTTTGTTATAATTACAAAACAAAAAATTTACTGTGTAGAGTTTGATTATTGAATGTTGTCTTCCAGTCTAGTCTAAAACATTTCTCCCAAAAGTAACAAAACCTAAAAAACAGTTTACAAAATAAATGTGGATTATAATATGATTATTTTAGACATTGTTTTTTTTCTCTTAAAGTGTATAGAAGGGCAATTTTGATGCCCTCATCATGTGGCTGCTGTAATCTGACTTTGTTGCTTGGGGTGTTTTTTAATTGGGCTTTACACACTTCTCTCCTTCAAAATATCTACCCAACACATTTTAACATAAGTTTTGACACCCCTCCATCCTAGCTGCAGTTTTAACACCCCCTCCCCTGTCCACTCATCTAAACACCCCCTTCCCTGAACACACGTTTGAATATCCCTTTCCCATGTCCATGCGTTTCAACACTCCTTCCGCCAGCCCCACGTTTGAACACCCCCTCCCCCCGGCTCCACGTTTTAACACCCCAGTCCCACGTTTTAACACCCCAGCCCCACGTTTGAACACCCCCTTCCCCATGTTTTAACACCCCAGTCCCACGTTTTAACACCCCAGCCCCCCGTTTGACCACCCCCTTCCCCCTCCCCCGGCTCCACCTTTTAACACCCCAGCCCCACGTTTGAACACCTTTCCCCCGGCTCCACGTTTTAACACCCCTCATACGTTTCAATACTCTCCCCCCCCCACGGCCCCACGTTTCAACACCCCTCCCCCTGATTACAAGTTTTACCCCCTCCACTGACCACCTTTTTGAAATGGACGCTTGTGTTGTATTTTCAAAATGTGTTTTTATCCTTGTCTTACAATTCTACTATAACTAAAATAACTACGACCACACCCCTTCAGTATCTTGCATAAAATCCTGATGACACGGCACGGTTGGGGAAAAGTAGTTAATGCCAGATATCAAAAGCGTTTATTGAAATAGAAGACGCATCACTCCGAGCAGGACTGGAAGTAAACAACCAAACAATAAAATACATGACAATATTAAGGGAAGAGCAGACAGATGAATCCATTAAAATTAGAAACCACACTTTTGAAAAAGAAAATAATTTCAAATACCTAGGATTCTCAGTACGTTAAAGAAATGAATTACTAAAGAAAGGATATAGGCCGGAAACAGGACATACTTCAGTAGTCAGAAAATGCTCAAAAGTAAACAAAATTACAAGAAAAACAAAGAAAACAAGTCTATATATTTTTAAAAAAAAAACTGTAATCAGACCAGTTGCACGTGTAGCATACGCAAGTGAAACTTGTACTCCAGCAAAAAATGGCTGAAAACCTATTAAACACATGGAAGATAAAAGTTAACCGTAAAATATACGGACCAACAAAGGATGAATATGGGTGGAGGGTAGGAACCAACAAGGAAATGTATAGAATAGAAGATATCAGGATCTCAAACTAGTAGCAGAAATAAAAAGGGCAGGCTACGCTTGGTGGCACCCTTAGAACGAATGACAGAGGACTGAAGAGGGTACACCATCAAAACCCCAGTGGCAAATGGTTAAAAGGCAGACCTAGGCTTAGATGGATGAATGGTGTGGAAAAAGATCTATAGCAGCTTGGAATCTAAGCATGGAAAAGAAAAGCATCAGTTAGGTCTGAGTGGAAGGAAGTGGTAAGGCAGGCCACATATATTGATACCGTAATAATTAAAGCAGCTTTGTCTAAGGGACATAACCAATACTTTAAAAGCAGTTTTAAAATATTGAAGCCTTAGGTATGATTAAGTCATGTTATCTCCCTTGCAATAAACCTGATATAAGTGGGTCAAGTCAGGTATTCTATTTTACTTCCAAGTGTCGCAGTTGACACAGGTAGAAGCGACGCCTGACTTAGTTCCCAAAATGGCTGTCCAAGCCAGGTCACGGAGCGTTCATTTCCTGGTTTTGTTATCTGTTTTAACTTCATCATTTTTGCAAACTAGGGGATTGGGTAAGTTGAACAACTTTGCAGAATCTATTGGTGTACGTTAGCATGAAGTTCTGTTAGAAGATTTTATCGTTAAACGTAATTTTAATCCTTTTTTCAATGTCAACAAATAGGCTTGTTTAGTTAGCGAGACAGCACAGATGCAGGCCGACTACTGACGTAAATGCTGTAAAAAAAATATTTATATAAACTAAGCCAATACAAATGTAAAGATATTTACTATTATTTATATAATGAAAGAACAATAGAAATCCGTAAATGATATTTATGAACACCAATATTAATATAGATATAACCTGTGGAAATGATTAGTATTTTCAATGTTTTATCATTTCCTAGAGTCAAACAACCGTTGCCTTTCATTTACTGAAGTTCCATTCTCGATCAATCCATTCAATGATCATTACATTCATGATCTATGCTACATTGTTATTGTTAATTCAATCATGTGCTCTATTTCTATACATTTTATTAAGTTTAGTTCATATTGAATTATGAAAATACCCAACTAATATCCCTCCCCCCCCCAAATAGCAATATGAATGTGCTGTGATTATATGACACCTACACAGTTTTAACTCCACCCCCCACCCCCCAACTGTGACCAATGTTCCCTCTAAGGTTTGCTGGTTCGTGTGCAAAATCATAAAGTTATGTGCAAAGTTTTACAGCATCAATTTTGTTGTGTGCACAATTGTACAGTCCACAAACAGAAACACACATGAAACTTTTATGCGCGGATACTCAAACTGCTGCGCGGCGTCTGTGAGATAGATGCGCAGGCACGCAGCTTAAAGGGAACATTGACTGTGACCTAACAGAATTGTGCTGTGATTATGTGACTACCTACACAGTCTAAATTCCACCCCTCCCCACTCTTAACTGACAGAAATGTGCTGAGATTATATGACTACCTACACAGCCGAGATGTTCATAATGTCCCAAGTTTTACAAATTACATTTGACATAACGTGTATTAGCCAAATATTAATTATATGACGTCAAATGTCACTGGTTAGTGACGTCATTTACTGATACAGTTTGCATCAAAATAAGACGAATTCAGTCTTGAATGTCAATCAGATACGTACCAAGTGGGATAATACCCTTAGACCAGTGCTGTCCAACCATTTAGGCAGTTGCAAGATGGCCTAAAATAAGAATGAGATTTTAAATTAAAATACGCTGAAAATTATGTTCACCCTTGCTTGCGCCATTGCCCCCATCGTGGCCTTTTTTAAAAATGACAATCATTTTGATTGATTGGAGCAAATTTCTGTGACTTTTACAAAATAATCAACAGCTTGGTAAGTTAATCGGTGTTTCATTAAGGTTATGCTCATTATAAACTCGGCGGTTGTCCTTCTCCAGAGTCCTAATGTCACGGCACAGCAGTTGCAGAGCTCTGGTTCCAGATATCATCTTTTAATGTTATGGAATGATTTTTTATTTTAATTTTCTGCTTGTAGGGCCGTCGAGTGGGCCCCGGACAGTTTAGGGCAGTGTGCCCCGAACAGTTTAGGGCAGTGGGCGCCGGACATTTTAGAAAAGTTGTGATGTGGATCATCATCATTATTATTTTAATATCAACTTTGAATGCAACACAAAAAAAAGGGGTTGGGGGGATGCAAAACCGAAAAATTGGCACGGTCAAGGTGCCTTGGAAAGTCAACCGCTCTGCTGCTTATTTGTTTTAATAATAATTGCATGTTACACTTCAAACTATTTGTATGTTAAAGACGTAATATATTATAAATATTATTTCTTGACATTTTACAGAGCAATTTTACGGATCATGCGGCTCAACATACGACTTGATGCAAACAAACACACAGTCAGCCATTTTGAAAGTGGCCATGCCGGCAAGCATGAAAGAATATCAAGACCCCACCAGAAATATACAATGTGATATAATCATCACATTTACATATGGTATGAACTTGCTCATAGAGCTCTACTACTTGGACATTATTCCACTGAGCAGCGACCGGAAGTCATGTATCACAGGGCTGGAGATATTCGACCAGCAAGGCAGAAAATATTATGGTAAGCATATATACCTTTTGACTTATGTAGTGGAAATCATAAGATGTGGGTTGTAACCATAGTCCTGGAAATATCCAATTTCTGATTTCAATGCGCAGTATGTAAATGTCTTGGTATTCCCCACTGTCAGGCTGTCCCCGACCATTAGTCTGTCATGTTCCATTAGTCTGTCCCGCCATCATTCTGTCATTACCAGCAGTCTGTCACCATCAGTTTGTCATCACCGTCAGGCTGTCCCTACCATCAGGAAGTCCCAAATGGGATCATCATCTCCCTTTGATCAATCTCACCCCTCCAAATACTTCCATCCCAACCTCTTACTCATTTTGTATTTAACTTCCTTTTATTGAAGAATGGAACCAATAAATTTTGAATATTAATATTACCCTTACATTTGTAAAAGGTTAACTTATTCCGTTTCTATTTATAATTCAGGAAGTCGACTTTGCATGGAGGCCTGGGAGTGGGAGGAGCAACATCAACAGATGAAACAACCAAAGCTTGTGGTTGAAAGTTCACCACTCACATTCCGCTTGATCAGCGGGGGTCCCTACAAGGGAGAAGGTTTCAGGATTCACATCAACCAGTTTAGGCCCTATTGTAAGTTGTCATAGGCATTGTTTGTCTTATTTTTATGCACACCTAGTAAGGCAAGATGGTTTTCTAGTGCAGAGTATAGCATTTATTTAATTTATTATGAAACAAAATACATTTCCAGCATCTACTGGAAGTAATCAATATTGGAAAACAACATGTAATATGTTGGCACTGTCATTGCACAATTCAGTCAGTTCCTTTATTTTTACCCAACAAAAATTAATTAAAAAGTTGTATTTCATGGAAGCCTCCTTGCATCCTAATTCAGGGCCTTGCTATACAAGAGAGTTCCGCTGTGAACAAGTTCAGCGATGTGTCCATGATGACCTAACTTGTGACGGATGGGATGATTGTGGTGACAACTCTGATGAAATGGAAGATGCTGGCTGTCACCTGTTGACGGCGTCGGAAATCTGTGGCATTATTATTGGTATACTTCTGCTGCTCGGCACAGTTGTTGGAACTGTTCTGTTTTTCTGGACTTACCACAGACTTAGTCAAGAATATGGAATGGTAAGAAATATCTTTATCTCTAAGAAAAAAAGTTTAATATTTTTCTGAAATGGAATATTTAGTTGAATAACTGTTGACTAGTATTTTCCTCATCATCAATTTTTGAGTATGTTTAAAGATTAAAAAAAATTATGGCTTTTTTTTTACAAATGCCATGATATTTTTTAATTTTTTTTAACCCTCGAAAATTCTGTTTTATATTTATGTGTTTATTGTTTTATTTCTAAAATTGATTACTTTGCAGTGTGCACACAATGTTAGTTTGAACTTCTTTAACATTTCATAATAATTTTAAAAATGTTGTTAAAACTTTTTCATGAAATCTCAGTTTCAAAGATCAAACATAAAATATAGCTACATGGCTGTGTACTAAAAATGCTTAGATTGATCTATGTACTAAAAATGCTTAGATTGAACTGTGTTCTAACAATACTTAGATGAAACTGTGCACTGGCTCAAAGGTAATTTAAAGGATTTTATTATTTTAATAACTATTTTATATCCTTGAAAAAATATTGACTTTAAATAAATGATTGTTTTCTTGTGTAACAGAGATCAGAGTCCAAAGTTCCCATTTCTATGGATGAAACAAAGTCCAGCATAGATATTAATTTTTCATACCCACGGAGATACAACTCAAAGGAATCTCTGGGTGTAATTTCTCGCTCAACTGCACCTACCTTGAGGAACAAACAGTATTCAGAGAACTCTCTGGACAAGGCAGATCTGGAAAAAGCTGATGGGTGAGTGATTGGTTTAAGCAAGATAGCTTTTTAAATATGAGATTAAAAATATAAGGTAGTGAAATGTTAAATATTAGACAGTGATTTGTAAACTATAAGATAGGCAAAAAGGAAATTAAATATTCGAAGAGTAAGAGGTCAAATTTTATTAAGTTAAATATTATGATGGTGAGGAGCTTGGTGATTAGTTATCAATGGGGAATGACCGAAGGACAGTTATGTAATAGTAATAGTAGTTCATTATCCATGTCAATCATCATAGTCAAAAGAGGAGGAAAAGGTGAGAGCAATTGCACAACATGTATCTTTTGGTTTTTAAAAAATTTTATATTTTATTTTTTCAAAATTTTCTTCCAAGTTGTAAAAGAAATTTCATTTGAAATTTATATAAAATATTTCATGGGTCGTTAATACTATCAGGTCCACACTAAGCCTGATTTTTTTTTGCAGACTTTGCAGAGACAAATTTAAATTGACAAGTTTGATTTTATAAATAATTGCTTTAGTGTGGCTAATTATTATATTATGACCCATGGACTGTTCATTTATTAATTAAATATATGTTTCTCTGCTTTCAATTTTATCACAGCCTTTTACTTGGTTCCAGAGTTTTCAACAAGGCATCTGACAACGCCTCTGAACGATCCTATCGCTCCAATCCAAAAAGGACTCAGGCACTGACACAAAGCAGTGATGAACCAGAGCCAATAAAAAAATCTGGCCAATATTCTTACAGGAAGGGACGTAATTCTTCACAGACAAGTTTGAACCGTGATAAAGGGAACCCACCAGTTAACGGTGTGGATAATGATGGAATGGGAAGCAATCGTGGCAGTCAAGAAAAAGATAGACTAGGAAGTAGGGAGAGGGATAGGAGATCGCCTGACAGAGACAGGATTTATGACAGTGATGAGGAGAGGCGGTACAGGAGGAGGAGCCGGGACAGGAGCAGGGACAGAAGCAGGGACAGATACTACAGTGATGAGGACAGTGATTATGAAAGAGACAGAGACCGCCGAAGAAGAAGGAGGAGCTATGACAGATACAGCGATGAGGACAGCGATTATGAGTATGAGAGAGAGAGAAGACGAAGGAGCAGAGATCGATACCGTGACAGGTATGATAGAGATGACAGCGATGTAGATCGGCCGTCTCGTGTTCATGACAATAAAGTTGCTGGCGAGGATGATCTGCCACCACGACGACGTGACAGTCGTGAACGAGACCGTTATAGAGACCGTGATTATGATGGCAGAAGAAGTCCAAATGATGATGATGATGACAGGCCTCGTCGACGAAGTAGAAGGAGTTACAGTGGTGACAGAAAGCGAGACTCCTATAGAGATTCATACGACGATGATGATAGACGTCGAAGAAGTCCAGACCGCAGACGAAATGATGCACTTCCACCTCTTGGTCCTGACAGAAGAACAAAGAGCAGAGAAAGTCTTGAGAAACATGAGGATGAGCCTTTGCCACCCCCTCCAACAGGGGAGGAGATTCGGCGCATGGAGTTGGCCAAGCAGCTTGCAGAAGAAGCAAAACCTTATGTTCCGCCACCAAAGGAAAAATGGGAACCGTTACCCAAACCAAAACCTCTAGAGCCGTCTGCCCCTGCTGTGTCATCTGTCACTGAACCTATCAGGTCACCGTACGATCCTCATAAACAAAGGAATGATGCTTCTAAATCCCAATATGAACCTGCTAAGCCACAAAATGAGCCCACTAGACAAAGGAATGATGCGCCTAAATCGCAATACGAACCCACTAGGCCACATAACGATATCCAAGGGGATCCTCCTAAACAAAAATATGTGCCACCTAAATCCCAGTATGAGCCACCTAAATCCCAATATGAGCCACCTAAATCCCAGTATGAGCCACCTAAATCCCAGTATGAGCCACCTAAATCCCAGTATGAGCCAGCTAAGCCACAGGCAGAACCACCAAAATCTAAGTGGGAGCCACCATCTAAGAATAGAGAATCTGCTAAACCGGCTGAGCAGCAAAAAGCTGAGCCTGTAGATGATACCACCAGGAGGCGCAGCACCAATGACCGCAGGGAGAGATATTCCAAAAACCGCTGGACGCCCAAGAGCAGGCATGAAGATTCCCCTCCTCCAGTTTATGAGGATGTGGCTCCAGCTACAGCTTTTGTTAAAATTGGATACAAGGAGGAATCTGTATAAACAATGTTAGCTGGGACTAGCCTTTAATTTAATTGCTTGTTTTATAGTGTTGTATGTTGAAGATAAGATATTGATTTTTCAAACACAAATTTTTTGTATATTATTAATATCTTTGTATTATTTGCTAAAGTGACCTCATGTTTTTCGACATACTAATAATTTAATGTCATTTTTGTATCTAGCAGACCTCTTCAACCAATGAGGTAATATTAGATTCTTCCAAAATCGAATAAAAATGAAGTAACGGCAGCAGATGGAAAGCATAGTTTACTTTATTTCAGCAGAGCCTTTTTTAATACCACACAATAATAATTGCCATGATTTAATTCAACCATATTTTTATTTAGTCCACTGTTTCTTTTTTCAGAATGCCTTTAAAGTTTCACTGTATATATTTCCTTACCTATTTTATTGTATAAATAACAAAAGCACTTAACATGTTAATTTACTGAAGATATGCTCAAGAAAATAATAATCCAACAGCTGTTAAAATGTTTTGTAATGGTTTATTTTTTATATGTTTACTTATTTGACGTTTGCACTCTCAATAGGGCTGTTCCAATCATGGCTGGACCAATAGCTTTCGATTTTTAAATATTGTTTTGATGATTGCCGGCAGACACACTCCTGATTTCATCAGATTAAATTTGCAATAAAATAATAAATAAATCGAAAAGCAAAATTATGGAAACAATTCGCCAAGATTTTTTCCTTTGTCATGGAGATTTAATTGGCCAGATGGGTTTAATGAGAAAAAACGTTCTTATTTTAAGGTTTAATTTAGCTCTTGTAAATATTTATTTAAATCACATCTCTTGGTGTAAAACTGTTGTACAAATTTTGATCCTAATTTTTTTTACAAGTGCTTTCCTTTCTTTGCTATTTTTTGTTGTTTTTATTTGTAGGTAATGCCATAATAATATTGCAACTTTTAAATTAATATTATATTCTAAATACCCTTAGTTTATTAATTTTTATTTTGAATATTTCATTTTTTTTTTTACATATAGTTACATTTTTAAGATTTAATTTTTAAAACGTAGATACCTCATAATGTTACAGGTTAATAATATTATGTCATTATTTTTAAAAAGCCAAAGTCACCTGATGCCAGAAATATATTTAAAAGTAAGTATAAAATAATCTGGAATTTTTTTTTATAACCCTGACCCTGTCATCATTTCCAGCAACTTCAAACCTAAATTAAGTGTAAAAATGATATTACTATTCTTAAAGGTAAGAGGTTTATAGTTGACAATATTTAAAATTTCATACTTTGGGTTAAAAGAGAAATTATATTTGTGCTATTTTTTTACCTGCTTTCAATGTGGACTTGTTCAAATCATATAGTTCATGTTGAAGTCCTATGTAGAAAGAGAGGATCATTTGTCTTAGCCTAATTTATTTTGATAACGCTTATTTTTGTTATAATTTAAATTAAGGACACTTCAAGTCATGTCATTTAATTATTATGAGTTTCCTCAAGATAATTTAGTACAATATAAAATGATGCATATTTCTCTATACAACCAACAGCTTTCCTGTAATTTTTTTATAATTCTTGGAGTAGCTTTATATATTTTTAAATTAGTCATTACACTATTAGAAATAAAATATGTATTCATGAGTGATTCACAGGGTTTTTTGGCTGAGCCATTTACTCTTATAGACCACAGAGCAATTCTGTGCTAAATGTTTTATGTTGCATTACTGCTAGTTAAACTGGAACTCATAAAGGAAGTCGTACATCCCCCATGTGTCTTCCAAAGCATTTGTAGGATTTGATTGGATCTGGCAAACATCGGGAAATTATAACACATGGTGCTCACTTGTTTTGGTTTTTTTTCAATATTAGCTTTTTTGAGTTGGAAATGACTGAATTAAATATTACTACATTGCTTTATATATATCTATATCTCATTGGTCAGTTGACAAAGCTATAACAATTGTGGAGATTAATTATACTTTTGTTCTGTAAAGTAAAATTTATCAGAAATATGCCTTAAATTTTTAACAACTTGAAACTGTATCATTTCCCCTACTGCAATGACTCTGAAACCCATCTCCACTTATTGATATGCTCAGAAATTTATCACAAGCTAAAATATTACATTTTTTACCTGATATTTTGAATTGTCCAATTATTTTTAAATGCTCTTTTTACATGAGAAATTGACATGTCATTTTGGCCTAAGAATGTTAACTTAAATAAATGTTGAGTTTTAACTGAGATATGAGTTTGAACTTTATCACGACAGTTGATATAATTTAAAATAGTAGAAGATCATCCTTCTCGTTGTTTAAATTGCCACTGTTTTTCTGACAGTCTGAATAGAATTCTGTTCATTCAAGATGATTTTAAATGCTTGTTGAACGATCTGTCAATTTTAAATCATATCTTAAGGCCAAATAAGACATTACTTTATTTCATGTCCGTGTAATGCAAAGAAAATTTGTTTCGAGATATGTAAGATTCTCTTTCATCACCAAAATGTTTATCAATGTACATTCAAGTTCATTTAGAGATGGCCGAAAGGCGCCTAAAAACAAGTGAAAGGTCAATGAGCTTTTGATAATTTATTTTGAAGCTCACAAAACCTTTTCTTTAGTGCTTCTATCAATTTCATGTTCCCTTAAAATATTGAAAAGACATAATGCTGTATTACACCATTCAATTAGATTCTATATGCAAATAATTCTTACTTAGTGGCTATACATTTTATTATAATTTTTCCCTACATCAAATAAAGTCTTTTTTTTTTTTAAATTTGGTCATGATATAAATAGGAATTTTATCTTGAACACACATTTTCAAGCTGTTTGGTGCAATTATTGGGAATTTTATTACACACATTTATTAATGAACAAAGCATCGCAGCAATTAGTAATCAATACATTCATACCTAGAGAATTATTAGTTGCGATATATTATACATAACATCTCATGATTAAACAGGACAAGGTAAACTATTTATTCATTTACTAACAATTAGGGATTTGCTAATGGAAATTTCACTTGATAATCTCAAAACGGATCAGTGATGTGTACATCCATGTGCTGGGGCGTGAACATCGGCCTAAATGCAACAAACCTACAACAAACCTACAAACTTTTATATCAAAAACTGAATGATGAGGTATGTGAACCATCCCCCCACCCTATCTAATTTTTGTGACACTTTCATGTCCCAATATGATAAGAATCAATCTTAAGATAAAATTTAAAAAAAAAATTAGCCTAAACTTGCCAAGTTTTAAAGTATTCAGTAACAAATTTTTAAAGTTCATTCAAGTATTATTTCAGTCTATAAATAAACTCAACAGATAATAATGTTGCTTGAAAATTGTGTGGGTGGTCATATCCTTTTGATGTAATGCTATAAAATTAGTAAGCATCATACATGTAAAGAAAATATACATTCCTTTCAATAATTATTATTTTGTCATTTGATGTATTACTATTAGACAAACTGTTTGTAAAGGATTTTTTTTTACAATGTCATACAAAGTCAACGCAGCAGTGAAGAATCACCATGTATATTGAGTCGATTTTTTGATAACCTAATAAGTACATATGGGAAGTTAATTTTTTTATTTTTTTAAAATATTATTTGAAGCAATTTGCTGATTAAGGCATTCCATTTGTTATTTCATGTTTATTGTAGTACCTCCCACCCCAAACCCCTCCTACAGCATCCCTTATATCTTACCCCTTATATTCCAACCCTGTTCTACCCCAGCCCTTATATTCCAACCCAGTCTGCCCCACCCCTTATATTCCAACCCCGTTCTGCCCCACCTCTTATATTCCAATCCCGTTCTGCCCCACCTCTTATATTCCAACCCGGTCTGCCCCAACCCTTATATTCCAACCCCATTCTGCCCCACCCCATATATTCCAACCCCGTTCTGCCCCACCTCTTCCAATCTAACCTCTCCCCTTCCAATTCAACCCCTCCCATTCCAACCCCTTTCACCATATAGCCTGTTTCTTAATGCAGCTCTATTCTCAAAAGAATTTATCTTCAATATCATTTCAACATTGGGTTGTTTTTTTTTACCCAAATTATTCCTGATGATGCACAGATAATTTAGATGCAGCTTAAGTTGTCATAATATTTAGTGAAATTATAATTTTACAAAATTAGCAATTCACGTTTTACAGACTGACACATTCCCAAGCTGAGAACATGAGATACAGTTTATGAAGAAACTGGTTCCACTATCTCTGTTTTCTTTATTGTATAAACTATCATGTTTGGCTGTAAATAGAACCATCTGCTTTATGTGATTATCCTGAAATTCATTAATGCCTGTAAATAATTTTAAACCAAGTACTCTTGATATTCAAACATTTTTTGGGGACTTGAAAAATCTATTTTAAATTCTAGAGGGTGTTGCATTAGTGCCTGCCAGTTTAAAAAAAACGCACATAATTTCACATTTGGACCAATCATGTCATGTTAAAGAAAAATTATACCATATATTGACCAATCACACACTTGCTAACTTTTTGAATATTTTTAAAATGCTATTCAAAATGAAATGGGAAGGAAATCCATTTGTTCTTAAAGTTTCAACTTTTTAATTAGACGTACACTTTGAAGGGTGGTGGACAGAAGGAGAGAAAAATGTGTTGTGTGTTCTATTGTTTCTCCTGTAATCAAGCTTCAGAATTTTTCTTTGAACCAAATTTCTGTTGCCCATAATGTAAATAATTGCTATTATGATTTCACATTTAAATTTATGTGGGGAAATATTCATTGTGAAGTTCAATATATTTGTTCAAAATAAGATTATTTTTAAAAATTTTGCCACTATTTCCAAAGACAATATCTAAGTTTGCTAAACGCTAAGGATAATAATAAACCAGGGTTATTGCTAAGACTATTCCTAAACTTAGGATATGTAAATGTAATCCATTTTGAATCCATATGTACAAATAATGTTCAGTAGGTATTCTGTAAATAGATTAAAAGACTTGTATATATCTGCCAGATATCCTAAATAAATAATTAATGCAGTCTAAATGAAATAGTGTCCTGTATGTAGGCTTGTAAATAGTTAAATAGTCAACATTTGCATCTTCAAATGTGATTTGAGCCCTTTACAACTTGAAAAAAAAATTTGTACCTTGACATAGTGAGCATTTTGCTTGAGTACTTTTTTTAATATTACGACATTTATTATATTTTTTAACATTAAAGCAACAATTTGTGCTGGAATGTAATCAATGGCCTTATTTGCGCATGTCATCCTTATCATAACTAAAGGTTGCATCCAAATAATAACAATGTAAATGTACATAATGTTTCTATGCTTAATACACATCACTTCAACTCATTTAGTGTGTGCACCTGGTAGAGACTATACTTACACTTACCAGTAATATTCTTATTTGTAGTTTTATATCTATAAATATATTTCAATATCCTTGACATTGCATCAAACAAGTTATAGTCAAATGCATCTCAGATGGTTATGAATGTCAATTTTTAAACATCTTTTTATAGCAATAAACTTGAGCAGACAAAAATGTTTGTGTTTGAGATTATGTTCTTCCATCAACATGCCATTTTTAAATTTTTTTTAAAGGATTTGTAGGAAAAACTTTATTTTTAGGTGTTTAATTATTATTATTCTAAAATCAATAAGGGAATAGCACTTAAGAAATTAATGTAGGCCTCTGTGTGCATTTAACATGTCTTTTTACTTTCTGTTGTTGTTATTATCATTATTATTATTCAGGTGGTTTTATGTAGCACAATACCCCAGCCTAGGGCTAGGCTCACTGCGCTTCACATAAAGAATTAGCAATTACAGAAAATGAAACATTTAAAAAAAACCTGTCTATTCAAGGACAACACCCAGCAGCATCGAGCGTTGTTTATCAGTTAGAGGGGGATGAGAATGAGTTATCCAGTAAACTATTCACAAAATTTACACGTGCAAGAAAATGCAAACGACTTCGATTTAAAAATAATGGATGAAACGTGGAAAGGGTATGTGTGCGAAAATTATAAACATTTGTGCAAAAATGTGTTGATTTATTTTTCAATTCTTTTATATTACTATACTTTTGTTCGTGGGTGGCGGATGGCTGGCAAAATCTTCCAACGGCTAATTAACCCACTTCCTGTCATCCTATTGAGCTGAAACTTAGAATATTGACTCTTTGCCAATGGTGACATATTCTATCATATTTTTAGCCCACCCCAACCCCCCAAAATCAGTTTCTCCTGTCTTTCAAGGGAAGATAACATAAAATTCCTGATAACATGCCATAACTTGATATCGTTATGAAATATTTTAGACAAAAAAAAATCATTGAAAATATCTATATGGGGAGAAAAGTTGCCTTACCATAGAATCAAACTCAGTGTCAAATGAAGGCAGGTAAGTAGTCTACTATGGACAATAGTGGAAGTCAGTCTCAAATGTCTGCAGGTAAGAATTATACCATGGACATCAATAGTACAAAATTGATATAAAACTATTTTGTATTTGAGGTGCAATAGTGAAACCGCTACTGAATGCAGAATTATTCCCCTTAAATAGGACATTGATATTATCAACATTTAGGGTAGCAGATGTGCCAGCAGCGTTTAAAGTTACTTTATTATAAGTCATCTAGTCTTTTCAATTCTGCATGCCAAAAGATGTGCAGTCTCATTTAGCAATAGTATAAACTGCACTTTACTGTAACACTTTCTATATCCCATACCATCTACTATTTCCCTTTGAATCCATTTAAAAATGTTAACATTTGATTGGTTGCACAGTTTTCTTACTAAATTTAGAAATTCAAATCATTGCAGAACAACAGATGGAGGATGGCTATTTTAATAAATAGTTTAAAAATTGACTTCTTTATTTTCAGCTAAAACTCCTGGTTGCCATCTTGCCTCCATCATTACACAAGGGCATGTTTAAGTTATAAAGTTATTAGTTCTGTTAAATGGTTTTTGTAAATTTATTGATCTTTTTTAAAATGCAGCTCGTTTGTGTAACAATATGTAACATAGGACTGAAACCGGTATACAAAGAAAAATGATACAAAATGATATCAAAAACATTCAAATTAATTATACTATTAAATTTATATAAAAATAACATCAAATACACAGTAATAAAAAAAACAACTATATCAACATACAACACAGGAAGTGAAAAAGTACAATCCTCGAAAGATCCAAATATTAATTTACACACACACACATAAAGAGTACAATTTTTTCAGTATACTACATCTCATAAATGTCTAGAGAAAAAAATAGCAAAAGTCTCTCTTCTGGATGGGAAAGCTGCCAGCTTATTTATAGAGAAATTTGGAACCTTCCAGAAAAGAAATTCTAGAAACTGCATCACTCATTCTTAGAACAAATAGAAAGTAAACAACCTTTTCCCAATCAAGGGAGTGGTAGGGTTGTACAGTAACACATTTAATCAATATCAACATTTTAAAAAGGGGGAGACAAGTGGTGGTCACAAAATTGAAGTAAAATTAGGTTAAGACACAGGCTATAACAGTTGCCTTACAATTATTGTGTTCTTATTAAAGTTAAAATACTGTTTTGCTAAAATGTCTTACTTTACCAGTTCTTTAATGGTGTATGTTATTACGCTATTCTCAGTGGGACCCAATAGCAATATGGACATCATTTGAATTTCAATGATTCGCAGGGTTAAATTACCACTTTATTGTCACACGTAAGAAATGACTAAATGATTCACAAAAAAAGCTTGAAATATGTGAAACTTGTAATGTTATTTCATGTTCATTATCATTGTAACTCTCATACTATCTTTAAATAAAAACTTGACAAATCAAATTACTTTCAAATCACTTAAATTTTTTCACACATTCAAAAGAGAGACTGAATTAGTATCACTTGCATTAAAAAAAAAACCAAAATCTCATTGCCTCTATTCTAACAGCTCTTTATTGTTCCTTTGGGAGTGTATGTGAAGTGAAATCTGACAAACAGGATAGCCACCAAAAAGACTTCATACAAAGTCATTACTCAAGTTTGGTTGAAATTAAAGAAAATTCATCAACAATTTAATTATCGATATTCAATATTACAAAAACAAATTCCTAGATAGTCCAACAGCCAAAAGTAGTGATGAGAAGAAAGCCAGGCTTTATTGACCCAAGGAATCGGTGGAATACACAAAAAAAATGGATGCCCGAATTACCACATGAGGAAAAAAATGTCTACAATTGTTATGGTTGCAAATACTACAGCAGTTTCCTGGTAGAAACGTTAAACAATTCCCTATAATTATAATAAGAAAAATAATTGGTCTTACTTAATAGAAATACATGAATCTAATTTTGTTTTACTTTTAAATGTCAAAAATTGTTAATAAATTCAACAGAAATTTACAATTAAGCTGACTAGAAATCTCTCCCTAAGATATTACATTTTGAACTGATGACCATTTTGAAAAATTTCATTGAAATATGAATAAAAATCAGTAGTTCTCTAACTGTGAGAGGGTAAGACTGAAAATCTGTTATCTTCAGACATAAGAAATTGGGAGAAAAAAAACAGGAATATACCTATTTGTTTGAAAAAAAAAAAAGTTCCCATTTTAAGAATTCATTCCGCAACTGGTGAGAACAGAACATTGTCAACTCAGCCTGTTCTTATTCAATCTTCCATCATTCAAACATAGGTTATGGATGTCCCATCATTCAAACATAGGTTATGCATGTTCCATCATTCAAACATAGGTTATACATGTTCCATCATTCAAACCTAGGTTATACATGTTCCTCCTTTCTCCACAATCACAATGTACATTCAAACCTAGGTTATACATGATCCTCCTTTCTCTACTATCACTGAGTATCACATTGTACATTGTTGGCATGGGCTCAAAGCTTTCTATAATCCAATGTTTGTTTCTTTAGTGAGTTACAGCTAGAAGATGACATAAAGTGATGAAAGCACATACTCTAATTGCAACTAATAGTCACTCACACTCTTCATTTCTTGTGATAAACCTGCACTCCGTCCAAACAAAGTCATGAAATCTCACACTCTAACTGCAACTAAGTTGTCACGGGTGGACTGGGGACTTCAAGCGGCCCGGGGAAAAAACAAAAAGCGGCCCTATGATATTAGTTATTAATATATCACCGGTCCTGGCGGCCCATCGGGAATCCTCCCGGTGTCCCAACGGCCCAGTCCACCCCTGTAAGTTGTGATAAAACTTCACTCGATCCAAGTAAACATTTATTTTCTTTCAATCCACTTCTAGTGACAAGAATAAGTTCTGCCACTCAACACAAGCAGACAAAAAAAAAATCTCTTGAAGAACAAAAAAAATACCAGCTTGACTAAAGGGCTTAATCTCAATCGGCTCTCAATGAAAGACTTTTGGCTGAATATTCATGATAATCTCAATTGTTAAATCAAAGGGAAATATACCAATGAACAAAAAAAGATTAAAAAAAAACAAAACAAAAAATAAATGAATGAGGTGAGTGGAGTCTTACGATAGTCAAGTTGGTTTATTAGTAGATGAGGTGTTTTATGGTGAGATGGGGTGTTTTATGGTGAGATGGGGTGTTTTATGGTGAGATGAGGTGTTTTATGGTGAGATGGGGTGTTTTATGGTGAGATGGGGTTTTTTATGGTGAGATGAGGTGTTTTATGGTGAGATGAGATGTTTTATGGTGAGATGAGGTGTTTTATGGTGAGATGAGGTGTTTTATAGTGAGATGAGGTGTTTTATGGTGAGATGAGGTGTTTTATGGTGAGATGAGGTGTTTTATGGTGAGATGAGGTGTTTTATGGTTAGATGAGGTGTTTTATAGTGAGATGAGATGTTTTATAGTGAGATGAGGTTTTTATGGTGAGATGGGGTGTTTTATGGTGAGATGAGGTGTTTTATGGTGAGATGAGGTGTTTTATGGTGAGGATGAGGTGTTTTATAGTGAGATGGGGTGTTTTATGGTTAGATGAGGTTTTTATGGTTAGATGAGGTGTTTTATTGTTACATTAGGTGTTTTATAGTTAGATGAGGTGTTTTAAGGTAAGATGAGGTGAATTTGGAAGACAAATATATTAAATATTAATAAATAAACTCCTTAAAGTTAAATATCAAAATAACATAATCACCCAGTATCATCACTTTGACAGCGGAATGAATGATCATTGTCAGTTCTGTTCTGATATCATTTATATAGCAACTATGAAAAGGTAAGGATGTTATGGTAACAATGATATGGTAACTATGATGATGTAATTATGCTATGGTATCAAAGCTGCATAGTATTGGCAGTACCATGGCAAACTATGTCACAATGTGTAACACAATAGAACAATTAGTAAGAAAATATGCTGCCAGTATCACAGATGTTGTTTCCATAACATAACAGTTCTGTCACTTCCACCTGTAAGCAGAGTTCCCTCACAACGTAAGTCCATACATGTGATGGCACCTGCGGAGAGAAAGTAAACAGGTAGTTGACGCTATCTCAGCTTGGTCTACACAAGACTATTGTCAAGAGCCCTCTTATGTACAAAGACTGTTCAGTTTCAATAAAAGATATGACAAGTGACTATCAGTGATCCACACTTGAAAATTAACAGTTGAGCCCGATGCAAAACTCCATCTGACCTTTGTGTGCATGTAAAGTCTGTGCAACCTGTCCCCGATCCATGTCCCATAGGCACAGATTCCCTCCAGCATCTCCAGTCAGTATCTGAGCTTCTTTTACTTGACTCATGCAGCTGAGGTGGAAAGTAGCAAAGTCAATAGACAAGAAATTCTTATCATGTATTATTACAACAATCTTTTGATCTAAATATAGAAGTATTGTTAAGCTGCATAACTTTGTGCTCAATACCCTGGGTCACTTACTTTAATACCTGGGTCACTTACTTAACACCTGGGTCACTTACTTTAACACCTGGGTCACTTACTTTAACACCTGGGTCTCTTACTTTAACACCTGGGTCTCTTACTTTAAAACATGGGTCTCTTACTTTAAAACATGGGTCGCTTACCCAATCACCTGAATCAAACCCTAGGGTTCTTAAGGCGAAATCTAAAGATTGGCAACTCCTGTGTGAAAGAAAGAGCATATAAAGCCTTTATCCGTCCGATTTTAGATTATGCATCTTCAGTCTGGGACCCATTTACCCAGAAGAGCATTGTCCAGAAGAGCATTGACAGGTTGGAGGCGGTCCAGCGACGAGCAGCACGCTTTGTCCTAAACCGCTACAGGAATACCTCTAGTGTTGGCAGCATGCTAGAAACACTAGGCTGGTCACCATTGGAGAAACGACAACGACAATCCAGGCTCTCCATGATGTACAAGATAAATAATGGGCTGGTCCACTGTTCGAGTATTAAACAGAAACTCGTCCCTCTCCCCCATAGACAGCGACGAGGCCATGACAGGCAATTCCGGCTCATACCAGCAAGAAGCCAGTATAGGAGCTGCTCATTCCTGCCCAAGACAATCAGGGACTGGAACCATCTTTCAAAAGGAACAGTTGAGGCGATAACACTAGACACATTTGTGTCTATTGCCTCAAGCCTTCAAACCACTAGTGCATAATTTCCTCATCACCACCAGTAACAGAAACATTGCAAATCCCATCTACATGCATAGGAGCCAAAATGATCAATAAATTGATCGTGGGCCCTTAAGATATAGAAGAAGAAAAAACCTCTGTCAGTCAAAGACTTAAAATCTCTTGTCAGTCAAAAGTGTAAGTTACCATATCTGATGTTCTAGATCTTTTGTCAGTAGTTCTGTCATAGTTTCAACATCCAGCACTTTGAGAAGACTGTCAGCCCCACATGAGTAGATGTGCTGTTTGTCTGAGCTGAGCAGGCATGCATTCACAGTGCCGGCATGAGCTGGAACAATAAAGAGAAAATAAGAAAAATCAAAGTTTATTGGTGCGCCTACTTCAAAACAATCCTTTTTGTAAACTTCAAAAAAACAAAAAATATATACATTGTTTGGTCGAAATGGAAATCAATCCCTAATACCATCAGCACAATGCCCATACTTAAATACTTAACTAACCTTTCCCGACTTTTGGTTGAATAGTTTTATAAAGTTTCAAAAGTAATTTCCCCTTTTATGGATCTGCAGTAGGGTTTATTTTTACTTAGCCTTATAAATTTTGACTCCATTTATTTTGGAACCATCAAAACATTTGTCAAACAAAATGATTACAGTAAGCTGTTGAACTTTTGTGAGATATCTGATAACTATCCTTAAAAACTATTAGCATTATCAAACAAACAACAACAACCTCTTGTCAATGGTATGAAGAACAACAGGAGACATGGTACAACAGGAGACATGGTACAACAGGAGACATGGTACAACAGGAGACATGGTACAACAGGAGACATGGTACAACAGGAGACATGGTACAACAGGAGACATGGTACAACAGGAGACATCGTACAACAGGAGACATGGTACAACAGGAGACATGGTACAACAGGAGACATAATGAGTAATTCTCATTACCAGAGACATAAGACATGGTAAAAAATTAGACATGGTACAAGTGATGACTTAATGAGTACAACTTATTACCAGAGATAGAAGAAACAGGGTAGAAGCTGTTCAAGTCCCACATTGTCAGGTGTCCATCTTTTGTACCTGTCACTATTATGCCGCCAGTGTCATCAATGTCCAGACATGTCACTCCTTCATCATGGTCTAACTGACCCTGAATCACATCAAATATACAAACATGAAATCTCTTGTCATTCATGCACATCAAATCTCTTGTCAGTCATACACGCACAGGGTTGTGGTGTCAATCATACCACTCCAGGGCGGAGAGTTCAGGTTTCTATTTAACCCCCCCCCCCAACCACACACACAAACCAAAAGAAAAAAAAATTAATTAAGCTAGATGTACAATTTACAAAACATGGAACTATGTTGAAAGGGAATCAAATCTTTTATTTAAATTTTTTCAAATGATGATGATGAATGACAACAAACATTTTTAAACAAAATATGAGTATTCATTGATCAACTATTTCCATTAAATCATCTAGTCCAATTAAGTCAACTAGTCCCATTAAGTCATCTAGTCCAATTAAGTCAACTAGTCCCATTAAGTCAACTCGTCCTATTAAGCCAACTAGTCCCATTAAGTCAACTAGTCTCATTGAGGCAATTAGTCTCATTGAGGCAACTAGTCTCATTGAGTCAAATAGTCTCATTAAGTCATCTAGTCTAATTAAGTCAACTCATCCCATTAAGTCAACTAGTCTCATCAAGTCAACTCATCCTGTTGAGTCAACTAGTCTTATTGAGTCAACTAGACCTATTGAGTAAACTAGTCCCATCAAGTCATCTAGTCCATTAAGTCAACTAGTCCCATTAAGTTAACTCGTCCTATTAATTCAACTAGTCCTATTGAGTCACCTAGCCTCATTAAGTCAACTAGTCTCATAAAGCCAAATAGTCTCATTAAGTCAAATCGTCCTATTAAGTCAACTCATCATATTAAGTCAACTAGTCTCATTGAGTCAACTAGTCTCATTGAGTCAAATAGTTTCATTAAGTTAACTAGTCTCATTGAGGCAACTAGTCTCATTAAGTCATCTAGTCTAAGTCAACTAGTCTCATTAAGTCAGCTAGTCTCATTAAGTCAATTAGAAGCCTTAATTCAACTGATGAAGATGAAATGCCTCACCAGGTAATTGGGCATGGGCAATCCATTGGGTGTACCTGTAAAGTCCATTTCCCACACCTGTAAGACAAAAAGCCATGAATGCCCGATATCATTCATTAATTCATATTTATTGACTGCTGTAGAAGGGTATAGCTGACCTGTTGACCCTCAAACTCTTAAAATTGTAAAATATCATTAAAAAAAACGGTAATTACATTATCTTAATAGAAAAATATAAACATACAAAATATATAATGTATACACCTCAAAATTGTACATTATACTCCAAAATCGTAAGAGTAAACAGGTCTGGTATAGGAGCACACAGTATGATTGAGAGGTTAATGGAGGTTTTCCTGACTCTTCGTTTAAATCTGTGAGCGATTTGGTGATCCTGCGAGACACCTCTACACTAATGGAGATGGGGTGAGCTGGAGATGGTGGACCTTAGTATGTGAAATTTTCATCTTATGCCAGGTTGTACCACTCAATAACAATTTGTGTGTTGTTGCTTTTTTTTGTTGGGGGGGGGGGGGGTCTTCTTATACTAGGAATTTTGTATTCTTCAGCCTGATAGTCCCACACCATGCATGCATGATAGGGGTGATTTACAAACTACTGGACTCCATTTCAAGAGTCTAAACATGAATCAATGCAAATTTTTCATATCTGCTATTACTATTACCATAAGTGGGCCTCCATAAATTACGTCAACATAATGGGAGGATGGGGGTGGAAAAGTTTGACAAGTTCTATGATATCTAAAAATAAAAATCATACATAAATAGTTCAATAAAATATGTGTTAAATTAGGCTATAGGCTTAAATATTCTTATAATTTCCCATGGTCAGAACAGCACCCATGATGCAATTCTAGGTCTAAGAAATAATATCTGTTCTTCAAACAAAAACGCGAAGATACGGCTAATTCAAGTCGCTGACAAAAGACAGAAAGAGGGGACCACAATTATTGCACACAGAGAAATGCTGATCTTTTAAGCAATGAAGGGTTGGACTAGATGAGGATGGTGTCAGCTGGTTCCATGATAATATCAAAATGACAGTGATCAAATAATCAGTCACTGTGCACAAATGCAAAAGATAAGCATTGGGCTAACCAGCGTGAACATTTGGCTTAAAATTGGGAATCAACTATCAATAAATTTACTTACAATAACATTAACACTTTATTAAGTCTTTATTAATTCTGACAAATAAAATTGACTATAGACTAGGATTCTAATTGTTGCAAATTTAAAATTTCTCAAAGAACTTGTGTGTTTATTATTATATTTTTGGATTTTTGGACATAATTTAGAGGGGGGGGGAGAGATTTTACAGATTTAGATATTTAAATTTGTTGGGGAGGAAGGGGTAAAAAATTGTGGTATTGTCAAATTCATATTTTCTATTTTCACATTCAGTGGCATTGTAGCATTGAAATTTGTTTTTACCTTAACTGTTGAGTCCCATGAAGCTGTGAATAACCTCCCAGACTTCCACCTCACACAAGACACTAGAAGACAAACCAGTGGTGTTATTTAGCATATAGTACATGATACCGAGGTTAAAATTGACACTGTGCTTTAGTTTCATTACTGTCTTTTTTAAAGTTATTCTGTATGCAGCCCTGTTTACCCTCAAACTCTTAAAATTGTACAATATCATCACAAAATTGTTCAATATCTTATATTTATAGTAAAAAAATAAACACACAGTATATATGATGTTTAAACCTCAAAATCGTACATTGTACGCCAAAATTGTAAGAGTAAACAGGTCTGGTAATGTGACCATCGTTGGTCTTTAAGAGATAAAGGTGTCATGTCATTGTAATATGACACTATGAATTTTATGAATTTTTCAGTTTTTGTACAAACTCTTGTCTCTTCTCAGAAATGAAATTTTTGGTTTGAAATAAAAAAGACAATACTATGTCCAAACCTGCATCATCATGTCCATTCAGTGTGTCTAGTACTCTACCATACTCAATGCTGTAAAAATAGCTGTTGGAGACAGGGATGAAAAAAATGGAGTTGTAATTAGTTCTGACTTCTCAAACTATAATTTAATCCTCTATTGGAACAGAAATTTTTTAAAAAATAAATAAATGATTAGAGAATTATTTTAGGATCAAATATTAAAGGAGTAGGGTAACAGTAGTCTCCCTTAACCACAAATTCATTGTAACTAACTCCATGAAGACAATGTCAAGAAACATCTGCTGCATCTGTAATCACAATGACCCTTTACACATGCCTAACAATATGCTTACATGTGCCTTACACTATTCTTACCTGTGCCTAGCATTTTGCTTAGCCCTGCCTAACATTATGCCTGTTGATTGTAACAGGAAAGGCTAGAAGACCAAATAATGACAATAAAACAAACTTACACTTTGTTGTCCCAGCAGCCAACTACAATAGTTTTGTTATCTTCCATAACTTCACATGAAGACAAAGCCTTAAACAGAGGAGAGGTGCAATCATTCATTAGCTGTCATTATGGGATGAGAACAGCAAGAACTCATCTACCATATCAGCACATTTAGTTTTGGTGGGACCATTCCAAACATTGTCAAAGTAGGTTATACCCATAATTTGGGGATCCCATCCCTAAAATTAGTCAGACTAGGATTTACCCATAACTTGGCAGGAATCACTAAATTTGTCAGACTAGGTTTTACCCATGACTTGGTGGGGGCCATCCCTAAATATTGTCAGACTAGGTTTTACCCATAACTTGGCGGGAATCGCTAAAATCATCAGACTAGGTTTTACCCATAACTTGGCGGGAATCACTAAAATCATCAGACTAGGTTTTACCCATGTCTAGGTAGGGCCATCCCTAAAAATTGTGGGACTAGGTTTTACCCATAACTTGGTGGGGCCATCAACTTGGTTTTACCCTGGATAAATAACTTCATGCAGCAGTCTTACCAAATAAAATTTGTTATAATTTATAATTACAACAACCTGCAGCCTAGAAATTAAAAGTTTTTGCATGCACACTTAACAAAGCATTGAAGCCTTCTGCATACCATCTGTGACATGTTGACACTCCTCAACTGCCTCTGTTCTTCCAATGAATACATTTTCAAGAAACTATCTAAAAGTGGTTCAAATAGAATGTCAAATAAAATAATTAGGAAGTAGCCAATAAAATTAATAAAAACTTTGATAAAGGCAACTTGATTTAGACAATACACTACTTGGCTTGTAAGTAAATATTGAAATTGATGTTATAATCAAGACTTGTTTCTAGACTACAACATTAATTAATCATTAATAAAACAAGGTTTAAGCAATGGAGTTCAAAAGGAATTAAATAAATCCCCATTTTTGTTGTTGTCAAAACCCTACTGTCAGCTGATGTATTGTGAGTGCTTCTATTGTCAGGTGATGTATTATGAGTGATTCTGTTGTCAGGTGATGTGTTGTGAGTGCTACTGTTGTCAGGTGATGTGTTGTGAGTGCTACTGTTGTCAGGTGATGTATTGTGAGTGATTCTGTTGTCAGGAGATGTATAGTCAGTGCCCCTGTTGTCAGGAGATGTATGGTCAGTGTCCCTGTTGTCAGGAGATGTATGGTCAGTGCGCCTGTTGTCAGGAGATGTATGGTCAGTGTCCTTGTTGTCAGGTGCTGTATAAAAGACCAACCTTGAGACACTGAGAATGTACTGAGACCATCTGGAGACATGCAAACTTCGCTCACTGCACTGGGAAGTGGACAAACAAAACTATTAACGTATTGACCAGCATTTATTTATGACAGTTTCCCCCAACCACCCTCCCCACCTGTTATCCCCAATACTCCCCTCCCATTAATATCTATGCAAGTTAAATACCATTTAGTCTCTTTAGAAGCAAGCCTTAAATAAGACCCCAGAAAAAAAGGAATTACACTTTAAAATGACAAAATAGCATTTGAAAAACAATTGAAGTCTATAAATAGCAATAATGATTCTGTGCTTTGGTTTAGAGGCATACATATCAATGTATATGTTTCAATCTATTTATAAACACTTACTCTTTATGGAGTGTGTACTGAAGGTGACAGTTCATCTTGTTGAGGTCAAAATTTTTAGGGGCTTCTTTGACGTCTTAAAAACAAACAATTTAAAAATGCAAGTTCTTATTTCTTATCTGAAAGTTAATAGTCAATGAATAATTTTGAAAGTTATTGAAATCTGAGATTTTTACTAGAGTTTTCTGGTACTGAAATATGAGATATGGCAACAGGGTTGTCTGATTATGAAATCTGATAATAACAATGGCTTATAATGAGCACTTTGTTAAGTTTAAAGAAATCTGCAATTTTATAGGAAGCTATCATACTTATCAGGCTTATGAACCCTGAAGATCTAGCTCAAGTTTTTTCAATTTTTCTTATTCTTAATAGATCCTTAAAACAAATATAGCAGCACCAACTTTCCCTGTAAGCAGCAATGTTTAATTAAAACTAAATTAAATACAATAATTATTAATTAGAAAAGCATGTTCTATAATCAGTTTCAAATCTATTCCATTCTGACTCTCGTCTGCAGCTCAAAGGAAAATTTGTTATGATCATACCTTCAATATCCAGGGGTCCATCCCCGATGTCTAATGCTGGCACAGTCTCAAGACAATGGGATCGTGGAGCAGGGGTCAGAAGACTTGGGATACTCTGGGATTTGAACCTCTGCGGGTGAGGGCTCTTGAAAAGCTGCTTGGGAGTCTGACCAAACTCCATGATCTGGGTCTCCAGACTTCTGCGTTCAGCTTCGTCCTGGATGCTAGAATGAAAGCAGTCAAACTGTGCCAGTAAAAACCTCTTCAGTTCATTAGAACGTTCTTGCTGATAAAAACTTATTAGATTCTTCTTTTAACCCAGCTAAATAATGTCATTATCCAAAATGTCACAATATAGTTTCCCATTTCTTAGTAACAGACACCCCTTGTTGTACGGCGACCAAACGCCTCTAGGTCAAAGTTCAGCACCACCGAGGCGACTCGGCGGTGTCACATGGGGTTTGCCTCTTCGTGGCATGCCAGACTAGTAGGGAGGTCTCTCCCGAAGCCAAAAACCCCGGCCACTTTGCATGACTCCTAAAGCAACAGGAGGAACGCCATAAAATGATTACTTGTTGCCGATAATGGATATCAGGCCTGGGTGGCGGCCAAAACCCTTGCAGAGGATTTTAAACTATACGGCCCTGAGAAACCCGCTCTTAGGCGACCGTTTCGTCCTTGCTACGTCCCGACCGGACAACTCCCTGGGGGGTGGGGGGGAGGAAACGCAACACCTTTCCCCCCGGAGAGGAAGTAAAGCCGTTCAGACCCAAGGAGAGTGGACCGCGAACGCTTTAAACGCAGCGTTTTCAGTCGACCGGACATCCCCCCAGGCTTCCGCATGGTCTGGCGGTGGGGGAACCCGGCATCGGCCCGTGTGGGGTCTTAAGAGATCAGGCTCGACGACCCACCGACGCCATCTCCAATGAGAAGTTATTAGTAACAGACACCCAAACACATGATACCACAATGTTCTGGTTCACTCACCTGTCTAAGTCAATGGCTCCTTCGTAAGTCAGGTAGTAAAACACTATTAATAAAAATAAACCTCAAGTTATAATGAGTACTAAAGACAAAGGAAATTAGAAGACAGGGGACATAATAAGAGGTCAGGGGAGATAAGAAGAGGACAGGGGAGGTGAGAAGCATGACACATTGCAATTTTAAATCCATAAACAAGAAAACAAAGATGAAGAAAACTTTTTAAATCTATAAAAATGAAATGAAAATTTCTCTTCTTTATCTTTCTACACAAAAAAAAAATCCACATTAAAACGTCCACAAGCCTAACCTATTTGATGTTAGAGATTATGCGCTGGAAAATAAAGCAGGAAATAATGTTTTAACAAAAAGGAAGGTTACCGTTTTAATTTGTGAAATATATCACTTTTTTAACTCAGAAATGTAGACAGCAGATTTGCTATTTTGTTCAGTCTATGAAAATATTCTCTGGCTTAATCAATGAAAAAAATCTTTTGATTGTAATGTAACTTTTAGATATCACATTGCTATATCACACTGCTATATCACCTTTCCATACCATGGAATAATTAATAGTTTCCTATATTGTTATCTGACCTCAGTTATTTAATTTTGCCAAATCCACTAAATTAATATTTTAAAAAAAAACATTAATTGCTATACTTGGTTTTACCATTGTCAGCCTCCCAGGCCTCCTGCCCCCTCTGTTGATAGCCAAAGATGAGGTCGATCCAGTGGTGGATATTACGAGAAACTATGTCAGACTCCAGGGCTTGTCTTAGCAATGATATCAGTTCTGATGGGGCTGCAGAGATAACAATAAAAATATAATCTCGAACACGGAGAAAGGGTTAACTTCTACTCATGACAGCTGCCTCTTTTAAAAACAGAGTTGATTTAGTTTGTATTTATGAAAGGCTTAACAGACTGTGTGCTTTGATAAACTCCAGTGGCCCTAGACCCAGACTTAAAGGGCTTGTGGAACTGATCATCTGCCTTTTACAAGTGTTTAGTGCTTTACTTTTATTCAACTGCAGTAGAAGAACAGTAGTACAAACTGCAAGGTCACAGACTACATTGTAGGTGTACAACATCAGACAACTGTACCAGCTGCAAGGTTACAGACTACTATGTAGTTGTACAATAGCAGACAGCTGTACCACCTGCAGGATTACAGACTTTGAGCCTAGTCTGCAAGTTAACTTTGATGAACCCAGCTGTTGGCTGTACTCAAGGTCACCAAGGACTTGATCTGGCCACGACATTTCATTGTTGATTTGAACAAATAGTCAACTCACATGAAGCCCATGGAGGCAGTTCTACATCCCCAACTTGTCTGCCATCATTTCGAAACCCAAAAGAGATGGGCTGAAAAAATAGAACCAATAATAATGGAGAATTATAATGCAAATGGGGAAAAAAGCCATAATAGAAGAAAAAAATTTGCATGCCAGCTTGTGGATAACAAATTTACCAACGTAACCAAGGATATTTAATCTTTCTACTTTTAAGCAAATGTCCAGAGTTCTCATTTTATGCAATATATATTTTTGGGTGGAAGATTATGGTTGAGTACAAGATTATGGTTGAGTGCAACATTATAGTTGAGCACAAACAGTATGTTCACCATTATAAAATTATTGAAAAAATCTATAAAAAAAGTGACTTACTCCTCTGTGTGTCAAGAAGAGGCCATCTCCACTGTAAAACTCCGGGATCAGCTCCTTAAAGTCTGATGCTCCATTCAACACATTATTCCATGTATCAAAGAAACTGTAACAAATGCATTATTTTTTTTATTGAAATCTTTTTTCAATCATATCATATATCTTAAATATTTAATGGATTTTTAAATTATTTTTAATAGAAGTCCAAATATGGTAAAGATCACCCTCAACCCCACTGTTCCATGGACTTCACATTTCTGATCTCCCTCAACCCCACTGTTCCATGGACTTCACATTTCTGATCTCCCTCAACCCCACTGTTCCATGGGCTTTACGTTTCTGATCTCCCTCAATCCCACTGTTCCATGGACTTCACATTTCTGATCTCCCTCAACCCCACTGTTCCATGGACTTCACATTTCTGATCTCCCTCAACCCCACTGTTCCATGGGCTGCACGTTTCTGATCTCCCTCAATCCGACTGTTCCATCGGCTTCACATTTCTGATCTCCCTCAATCCGACTGTTCCATGGGCTTCACATTTCTGATCTCCCTCAATCCGACTGTTCCATGGGCTTTACGTTTCTGATCTCCCTCAATCCGACTGTTCCATGGGCTTTACGTTTCTGATCTCCCTCAATCCGACTGTTCCATGGGCTTCACATTTCTGATCTCCCTCAATCCGACTGTTCCATGGGCTTCACATTTCTGATCTCCCTCAATCCGACTGTTCCATGGGCTTCACTTTTCTGATCTCCCTCAACCCCACTGTTCCATGGGCTTCACGTTTCTGATCTCCCTCAACCCCACTGTTCCATGGACTTCAGGCGTCAAACAGGGAAGAAACTATCTTAAAATTCAGTGAAAAGTCCTATGGTAAAAGTAAATGTAGATAAAAATAAAACTAACTTGTTAAACATTCTGTCAGGGTGATCAAACTTCCCATTCTGTAAACACAAGACATATTCTGGGGCTGCAAGAAATAACAAGTTATTTAAATCACTTCTCATTTGATTAAACTAAGTTCTTTGACACTATGACATTATTATTCAAATGTTTAGTAAATTGAGGAGAAAATTATTTTTATTTCTAACCATTTTTTAAATTGGAAAATGGCAAACTTATTGTAGCAAAATAAAGAAGTACAAATCCCGGCATATGACCCACCTATCCTAGATAGATAAAACAGGACATATGCTGGCAAATGACCAACCTATCCTAGCGAGATTATGAGACATGACCAACCTATACTAGCAAGATTAATCAGGACAGATTTCAAGACATGACAAACCTATCCTATTGAGATAATAAAACAGGATATATTCAGAGACATGACAAACCTATCCTATTGAGACAAAACAGGACATATTCAGAGACATGACAAACCTATCCTAGCAAGATAAAACAGGACATATCCTGGTGTGGAGTAATGAGATCCATACAGGAATTTGGGTTCTGGAATGTCTGGAAGTCTTTCCTAAAGGAAGGAAACAAAGATTGATTTTTAAAATATAAATATAGTAAGTGGACTCTAGTGTCAGTCAGATGACATGCTGTAGGTTTGCTGTGGACTCTAGTGTCAGTCAGATGACATGCTGTAGGTTTGCCATCAGTCAGATGACATGCTGTAGGTTTGCCATCAGTCAGATTACATGCTGTAGGTTTGCCATCAGTCAGATTACATGCTGTAGGTTTGCCGTGTCATGACCTGTATTTTGTGTTGTTATGTGAGTGAACAATTGTAAAGTTTCCTTCAATCATGAATAGAGCTCAGCTACATCTGACCACTGACTGAGGATTGGAAACATTAGTATAAAAGTTTGTGTACATTTTGTGAGTGAGAGTTAATACATTTGTGGGGATAGGAGCATTATTATTATTTCTTTGCCAGGAGTACAGTTATTATTTTTTTAATAGGCAGTTAATGTGTTTTTTTTTAATGATAGGATGTGTAGGATTTTTTTACACTCATTTTTTATCCTGAACGCCAATAATTAATTCTTGTTTAACTCTATTGCACGCAATAAGCCACCGGTGAATAAAGAAACATGGACTTTTAAACGTCTCTTTGGTTGAATTCTAGCTACACATCAGCCAGGTGGGGGCTAAGAGAAAAAAAACGGACTTTAGACTCTGACATTGTTTCTGTGCCCATAATGAAGGGGACCTACTCCGAGACAAGGTTCTATCCACCACATCTGGTTCTAAAGGGAGTAAAGTCGCAAGTGGTATAAGGCTTATACAGCAAAAGAAAGACAAATTTACCCACAGCTAATGGTTTTTAAATCTGGATTGGCCTCAAGCTAAAAATATTCAGATTATGGTAAATGTAATTACACAAGTTGCATGGAATTAAATAAATGCATTTTTGAAATCTTCAAAATACCTTGATTCTGTCAAGCCGATCAGAATTTAGAGCTCCAATTGGTTTGCTAAGGTCACGATATGAGTCTTCATTATCAAGGTCTTCATTTGTAGACAGAGACAACATAAAATATGAAACATTTATAGTTAGTTGTAGTGATATATTTCATAGCAGGGTCAACAATTTGAGCACAAGTTGTTTCATAAATGAATATACACAGAATTCTTTGAAAGTGAATGCAAATTATTTTTAAATGTGCTCATTAATTATTTTAGAATTATGCACACCAGTTATTTTATAAATAAGCAAACATGATATTTTATAAATATCCGTATCAGTATGGATATTAACTAGTTATTTTTGCACACTGAATATTGTCTTTTATTGCTTGTGGTTGTCTTGTGTGTTAGTTTAGTTAATGAAAGCTTTTGGCACCATTACGCTGGTGACATTGTGACTGACTTTATTGTAGTTGTGACATAGTGTCGATAGTCTGTCTTTTGTGTAAATCCTATTCATTTGACAGTTGATGTCAAGAGCATGGTGGGTGAAGGTTGTGTTATATTATTCTACTTATAGCGAGCTGTCCTATGCATGTTTGATTAATTTTACAACATAATATACGTTTTACTGGATTAAAGTTTACTTTGTCTTTGAAAAAGGACTTGTGTTCATTTCACTGTGAGATTAAGATGTATGCACTTGTCAAAGAATTTGATACAGGGAATCAATCTCTAAGGATTGGCAACAATGCTCACACATTATTGTATATAAATGCACACCAGTTACTTTATAAATAAGCAGACCTAAAATTTTATAAATATGCACACACATTTCTTTATAAATATGCACACCATATATTTTACAAATATGCACACACATTTATAAATGTGTCCACCAGATTAAGCTTACACTTTTCCTTTACAAAAATGGTGTCTTGTTTTTCTACTTAAAAACTTTATGGCAGTCCCCTTTTATAATTAGCCCAGATGAAGAATGTCTGGGCAGTAAGTCATAGCATGCAACATTTTAAAATGTCATTTTATTTTATATCTCATTTCTAATCTTGGGCCTACTGTAATTCAATCTTGATTAATAAATAATTTTTTGCTATCACTGGTCAATGTATAGCCTTAACATTGGCATTAATGAATGAACACACAATTTGTACCTAGTGTATCACTGGTGTAGTCTTGAATAACCCATGGCATAACAGGGTACTGAGTAAGGTCATTGAAACTTCTATCAGCAAAGCTGAAATTAACAAACATGAAAGGATTAAGTATTTAAAACAAAAATAAAAAATTACTTATTAATTTAATGGAACAAAATATTACTGTCGCCGAAATATGGATCATTTACAAAGTTAGGGACGGGGCAATTTAAAAAAAATATAGATATAAAAGGAATCCACCCCCACTTCCCCAGATTAGACATTGTAGTTATATAAGATTGAATATGTCCCCATTCCAGTCACTTACCTATTGAGGTATAAAAGGTAATCATAGTTCGAGATGGCCCCAGTTGACCATTTAAAAGTCATATCTTCCTGCCGTGTGTTTTCAAGGTTCAGATCTGAATGTTCAAATGAACATTGGTTTGATTTTAATTAGCTACCAAAAACAAATGTTTGTTTATTTACTTCTCATTTATTAGGTAAGGCATGCATGATATAGATTTTATTTTATATTAATTACATTTTTTATTTTAACTGATGAAGCCATGTAGCTGAAACATTTTAATTTGCATTTAGCTCTTACTCTTCACTTATAAACCAACTACATGTTTACTACACAAACTTTTTGTTGTTTTAATACAGAAAAAACATCACTCTATAGAAATAATGCACTCTATGACAAAATACATGGCTTAGATATAGCGAGAATATTTGCAGTGACAAGGTACATTAACTAGATATAGGGAGAATTTTTGCTGTGGCAAGATAAGTTATATAATGAAACAAAATATAATAATCTTGGGCATAATAATACATTTAGATAAAACTTGTCTTGCCTGGTAAACTCATTAGACTTTCATAGAGATGGTTTCGAGCTTCCTCAGTCTTAAAGGCGATAAACAGATGAGAAACTGGAGCACTGTCCCCACAGAAAATTTCCAGACCCTAAAATTAAATGGAAGGCAGTTAATACCGTTAAAACTTCAGCCTGTTTCATATGACTCATTGAAATACTAACGTCTAATGCATTTTTCATTGAAATACTAATGTTGGATGCATTTTTTATATTACTAATAATGAGATTAACTCACAAGTTTGAGGATCTCTGGATTTGATGATTAATTGTTTAACTAAATCTAATAATGAAATAAACTCACAAGTTTGAGGATCCCTGGATAAGATGATTAAGAGTTTAACTAATTATAATAAAGAGATACACTCACAAGCTGTCTCAAAAGGAATCTGCGACAAATCAATCTTTTGATATCTTTTAATCGCAGCTTGAGAATGGGCCACTGCAACAAACAAAAAAAGTGAAAGTACAGGTTTATCAACAGAACATAAATAAAAGATAGAAGAAATAAGTTTCATAAAGCTTTTAAACTCACTATATCAAATGTCAATCAAACTATAGAACTTCATTCAATTGATTGAAGTTATTCATCATGTCCATCAATGTTGATTTTTTTCCCATAACACATAAAAAAACAAAAAAGACAAGGACTTAAAATCTTTGCATTGGTCATAAGATTTCTTAACTCTTTGAACCCATGAGCATGCTTTATTTGTCCAAGTGTTACAAATCCATACCCAACCAGACTGATATTTCAGTGTCACATATTTTACCCAAGATCGATGGTATGAAAAAATTAGTAAATACTGAGGTCAGGGTTTGCCATGTGGCTTGCAAATGGATAATAATAATAATAATAATAAAGATTATTTAAAAATCACGCTTCATCCCCAAAGCTCGAAGCGCTGTACATACCACATTGAAGTACAAAATTCAACATTGAAAAACTACCTACAAGAATACCCATTCTAAGTCTTTCATACCTTGCAACCATAAACAACTCAGGCCAATATACATCTACAAGATAATAGCTAGATAGACAACATCACCACAGCAGGTGTTTGCGAAAAAGATAAGTCTTCAAATCAGTTTTGAAAGACTCCAGTGTCTGGCTGTTTCTGATAGCGATAGGAAGGTATTCAAAATTGTTGGGCCAGCACATGCGAAAGTGCGCCCCTCGTAAGTCTCAAGGCGAACACGTGGTATCGAGAGTTTGCCACTATCAGATGAGCGGAGTTGTCTAGTGGGTACATAAGGCATAAGTAGCGCTTTGAGATAGGACAGTGCCAGGTCATGCAAGCAGGGGTAGCACAGAGTTGCAATTTTGTACTCTATGCGAGTGCGGACCGGCAGCCAATGCAACTCTCTCAGAAGTGTTTTAGCATGGTCAAATTTGCTAATTCGAAGAACAATGCGAGCCGCATTATTCTGTGCTTTTTTAATTTTATCCAGGAGAGTAGCTGGAAGACCCACCATAAGAGCATTGCAATAGTCCATGCGTGATAGCACGAATGCAGACATCAGCATAGTTTTCATTATGTATTAGCCATGTTTTTGTTATGTGTTAGCAATGTTTTTGTTATGTGTTAGCAATGTTTTTGTTATGTGCTAGCCATGTTTTTTATATATATACATAGAGGAGACAAAAATACCAAATATTGCCATTCTAATGGACCAACACCAGAGCAGTTCGATGACGATTGAGGAAATGATTCAAAGGATTTTGATTGTATTTGAAAAATGTTTATAATAAAAGCAATAAGACATTGATTGTGACAACCGATTTACTTCAACTAGATTAATCCCAGTGATGGGATGTGTGCTTTGGATAATATAGAAATAACAAGAGGTGTGAACATGATAGCCTCTTATGCTATGCTGCACCCATTCTAAGACAATTTTCTCCCTGAGATACATTTATAATAGTAATGGGCTATTAACAGACAAAGTTGGATTGAGTTACATAAAATGTATTTAATTTTATAATCATGGACTTCTGGGGTTTTACAATTAGATGAACACATAAGAAATAGGTTTTATTTATCAAGATCTATTCAAAATCTGTTTTAGATATGTTAAACAGTAGGGTTTTCAAATATCAAGATACATTCATAAATCCTTGAATGTTTAGATCAAACAGTAGGGTTTTATATATTAATATATATTCATCTAAGTTTATAACTGTAGATTATAAAAGTAGAGGTTTACCTTATCAATGTTACAGAAAGGCTGGAAGTACAGTCGGCTAGATGTCAGCATAATTCTCCCAGGGTTGGTGACCAGTGGTGTGATTCTATCCCCTCTGGTTTCAAGAATAATTTTTTCATAAATATCCTCCAGCCTACATCCGGGAAAAGAGAATTATATTTTTAAAAAAAACTGGAAAATTTACTGAGTTAATTTTAATGTCAGATGATGAAAATGGAATTAAATTAAAACTTCATATAAACCTAAAAAAACAAAATAATGAACGTCTCGAACGTCTCGACAGGAAACCCTTCATTAGCGAACAAACAGTAAAAACAGAATTAAATAAAAATTGCACTTAGCCAAATATTAGTATCCGAGAGGGTAGCAAAAGAATTGTAGGCATTAACAGCAAGAAAGGCACTGGATTTTAGCATTCAAATTCGTTAATTTTAAATCAAAGCTAAATCTCTAATAATTAACCTAAGAAACTACCAACCAGCTTGTATTGAACTTGACCCTGGACTGACGTGACAACATAATGGCATTCAACTGTTGGAGGGGGAAAAAAAAATCACTCAATTTTTCTAAATTTTTAAGTAACATCTGATATTGGGACAGCTTCTCATTAATCATCTTTTTTTTTTTCCAGATTATAATTTACAAACACTTCATTTACAAAATCTAAAAGTTCTCTATTTTATATACCATTGCCTGCTGATCTCCTGGTGGAAGCGTTGAAGCTCTGTGTAACTGGGACATCTGAGGCAGACAGTCATCTATGGCAGCGTAGTTCAGAGAAAATGTATGCTGGCTTTTTTCCTTTACAAAAATTTTAAAAAAATAAAATGAAAATAGACTTGAATACTTTTTTTAATTTCATGTAATGTTAGAAAAGTTTGGGATGAGAACTTTTGATACGTTCATTTAAACTTGTAAAAAAAGCTTAGATCAGACTTATGCTATGGTTGTTCACACGAGGGACCAGTTAAAGTTTTCCTAAGGCTTAGAAAGATAAATGACTGCAACAATTTAAACATTACAAATTAAATATACAGAATTTAGAACATTAATATTTATCAACTCCCATTAAACAATATTTTAAAGTCAGCTCTTTAGTTCTTAACCTACACAGTATTCTGTTTACCTACACAGAACAATGGGCCCCTCAACATCTGTTAACCTTTACAGCACAATGGGCTCCTACCCACCTCCAACAGCTGTCTAGCAATTTCTTTTTTTTTTTTTGCTTCTCTTTGGCAAAATTCTATGAATTGATGAAATTGTATTTTATCTAACAAAACTTAGGATTTATATTGAAAATATAAGAGTTAAAGCTAACATTTTTTTACCCTTATTAATACAGTTACAATTCATTTCATGACTCTCCCAATTCAAATAAAAACTTCTGGGTTGTGGCCCTTCTCATTAAAAAGATTGGAGGCCACAAGCCTTAATGTTAATTCTTTAGTTTAAGTATAATACAGTTCTCTTATAATACACTTCCTCATACACTAACTTATTCACTGACTCCCTGGAGATCCCTGGAGACTATTTCTTTATTCAATGACTGCTGAAACAAATCCACAGACACTCAAGTGGTTCTAGGACCTCAAGAGGCAAGAAGCCCTATTTCAAGGAAAACCACCTCATGCCAAAAATTGTACAAACTTGACTTACCTTCCTGAAAACAAAAGGTGCCACAATGTTTTTCTCCTTCATTTCAATAGTTTGATCTGTGGAGATTTTAATCAATCTGTCAACTCTGTAATAAAGAAAAAAAACAGAATGCAAGCTCCATTCAAATAAGTGACTGGTGGGGGGAAAGATCCACAAGGTATCAGGAAGGCATTAATTAAAACAAAACATCGAAACTGGCTGATAAGTCTTCTCAAGTAGACAGACAATATAAAAAGAACATCAACACCATTTAAAAGAAACAATACAAGAAGAACATTAACTCCATTCTGTAATGTGGGCTTAAAAAATTTTTCTTGGTCTTATGGGGGATGGGCATTAATTTAACTATATTACTAATGGTAGATATTATACACAATATATAGTGTGTGTTGTAATGAAAGTAGACAGTTATGGCAGGATACATACTTTGATAGAAGTCCACCCTCCCATTCATCAATGTCCTCAACATATTTCAAAGGAAACTGAAAGAAAAAAATTAAGGTAAACATTTGCAAAGACATTATATTTCATTCAAAATGTATGTGTACATATCCCTTTATAAAAAGATCTAAACTGATGTTTCAGTTACTAATGGGTTAGTTTGTAATGGACTCAATGGTTCATTTTTCTTAAACATATATAACTATGATAAGTAAATCTATTTTCTAAAATTATGAAAATGTCAACCTTAAGAATGGGATATTGAATCTCCTGTGGTACAAAGACTATAGATTTTGAGCACAACTTCAAGTGGCCTCTTTGTTTTCTGCACATGGGACAAAAAACACAAAATTAATTGAGGAATGAAATAATCAGTTTTATTTTAAGTATAAATATTTCTGTAAAGAATGCGAAACTATTAATATTATGTTTGTGGCCAGGTGGTGGCTACAGGAAAAATGCAAGGAACAGAATGTTGACATCTTCTCCACCTTTGTAGATTTTACTAATGGCTTTCCACACTGTTGGTAGAGATGGTCTTTGGAAGATCATGGTCAAATATGGATGTCTGATGGTAAGCAGGCTAGGTTTGGGGAAAATGGGGAGACATCTAAACCAGTCCTTGTGATAAATGACGTCAAGCAAGGTTGTGTCCTGGCCCCAACACTTTTCAGCCTAATGTTTTCCTCCATGCTGACTGATACCTTCAGATAGGGGTTGTTGGAATTGGTCTCAGATACTGTAACGATGGTAGGCTATTCAATCTCAAGAGGCTACATGCAAAGTGAAAGGTCCTGACAGACATCATCAGGGATTTTCCGTATGCCCATGATTGTGCCCTAAATGCTGGAACAGAAGCTAATATCCAAAGCAGTGTTACTAATTTCTCCAATGCCTGCACAAACTTCGGTCTCACCATTTAACATAAAAAAGACTTGGGTCCTTTACCAACCCGCTGCTTTAAGTAATTATGTTAAGCCCAACGTTCAAGTATATGGCGAGAGGCTTAAAGTGGTAAATGGCTTTTCATACCTTTGCAGCACACTGTCCCAAAGCGGTATCATCAACGACGTTGGTCAAGCTTCTCATAAGTTGTTAGAGCAACTTAGGGCTGATTGTCTAAGAATGTATGAACCAGTCAAGGTATCAGCATTCAAATTAAAATGAAGGAATACAAGGTAGCTGTGCTACATATTCTTCTCTTTGCTTGAGAACGTGGATGGTTTATCAACGCCATGCAAATCCACTTTCATATGACAAGTCCCAGAAAATACTAAACATTAAATGGCAGGACAGATTTGCTGGGCGGAACAGGTTAAGCGAATGTCCGATGACCGCTTATTCAAAAGGATATTTTATGGTGAGCTCGAGCATGGAAGACGGTTTGCTGGTGGTCAGAAGAAACGCTTTAAAGACACCCTTAAAACCTTACTGAAATCGTTCAATATTGACTCTGACATATGGGAAGAAGCTGCAAAGGACAAAGCATCATATCATTCTTCTGTACACAAAGGCTCCATACAACATGAAGTCAACAGAACAGCGGCTGTAGAGCACAAAAGACATGCAAGAAAAGCCTGGTTTAACTCTGCACCAGGAGATGTCCCATCAATCCCCTGCATTTACTGTGCAAGACCATTTCAAGCCAGAATTTGCCTCATCAGCCATCTGCACACCCACAGCCACATTCACAATTAGCATATACAATGTTTAAATGGTCATAGTCAATTGTGACTGTCAAACTACCATCATAGTCACTTATATTATCAAACCCATTGATATAAAGTATTTAGACTTAATTAAGTATAGTGCATACTTTTCAAATTAAACACTGATAAAGAATCATGAGAGTTTCAAAAACTTTTTTGAACATTGTCTCTATGATAAAAATGCATAGCATTGCATTACTTTGCATTAGAACATAATAGAAAAATAATTTATTTGTTAGTCTTTGTGAGAAGAAAAAAATAGTAATTTCTCTAAAGACATTCGCTGATTGTTTCAATTCAGAGTTTGCTATTTGTTTACCACAGTGAAACACATTAAGGTTTAATTAAATATAATTGTAATCCTATAATCCTCTATAGTTTCTTATATATTTTATCTTTAGTCATTAACAAGATAAGGTGTGGACAGGTAATTTGAAACTCCTTATTTTATTCTAAATACTAGCAAATAAAGAAAATTTAAAACCTGCTTATGGCTTGTTGTTGTGACAAGCCATTAGGGTAGTAGAAAACACTGAAGTCTTCAAAATAGATTTCTCCAGGGTCCAATAGCAGAAGGGAAAATCTGACCAAAAAAAAAAAAACACAGTTTATACAAGATTACAATCAAATTGTTGATTGGAAAATAAATTAACTATTGTCATTAATTTAATAACAAGACAAGATGTGGACTAGGTCAGAGGATAAAAGGAGGAAGCCTTCCATTTAACTGAATGGCTTTGACAATAAATATACTGCAAATTAGTATTGCAGATGTAATATTAAATTAGTAAACAATGACCATCATGAAAGAGCCAATACTTATATACACAAAGTGCATAAATTGCCATCCTCCTTATCTCTATAATAACTAAGGCTCAGGCACAGTATTAATATAACCAAGCATTAGTTTAGTAATTACTTTATTGAAATTATGCTCTTTATATTCATTGCACAAGGCATGGTGGTGATTTTATTCAAAGGCAAAGTCAAGGCCAGGCAAATCTTCTACCCTTTGCATATGAGTTAATAATGTAGACTACAGAACCAAAAGGCCCAGTCAATGACATAGATTTAAGGAGAAGGGCTTCAGGATTTCCCAACCTTTATATTTTGCTCCTCCTACAAATTTTTTTACTAGTCTTGCACACCCATACGTTTTTTAAAAGTTAAATTTGAGATAAAATGGACTTCTAATTTATTTAATGAGTGACAATAAGAAATTTAGGACTTAGAAAACAAACTTGCAACTTATTACATATAGTAAATTGTAAATTTAGTAAAATGTAAAGGAGATTTTTAAAAACTCTATAAACATTTATAACATAACTTAAAAGCCAAGGGTTCCTATTTTCTTATTATCCCTTTTTCTTGCTCGCCTGGCTTCAAGTCCTACCTTGCATCCCCGGCAAGCACCCCTAGTTAGTAAATCCTGGGGTGGGCTAAGACTAAGATAATACACATTTGCAAAGATCATGTTATAAATAAATACGATTTAGCGGATTAGGCCCCTTTCTTTGATAAATTGCATCTGACATGCAGAACCTTTTTTTTTACTTATCATGGTAAATTGGATCAATAAAAGAATCTTATCTTATCTGCATTTTTTCTGAGTTTATGTAGACATGTCAATGTCAAGTATTAAAACATTCCAGAATGAACTAGTAATACATGGCAATACACACCAGCCACACAGCACAATATTATTAATATTGAGTTAACTAAGTTACCACACAAAAATACATAGCCTACGATACATAATTAGAAATTCCAATTAGAAATTAAGTAATAATACAAATACAGTCTTAATTTAGCCTTAGAACTTCAAAAACTGAATCAAAGTAGATGTCCGGTAATTTTTATTCCCATTCGTCATACTATTCATACATTGCATTGTCACAACTATGTGGTGAGAAAGAAGAATACGGTCACCCTCGGCTCATCACTCATTGCTACCGACTCATTGTGCTCAACCGTACAACAACAAATTGACAAAAAGAGAAAGAAGTAAAAGACAAGTTAAGTCACACATCACGAGTCAAATGTTCAAGTTCAACGACTAACACGGAACGTAACTTTATTCATTCATTATAGAGTCTAATTAATTCTAATTGATAAATAATTAACCTTTCTTGTCCTAACGTGTCAGTTTCAAGAAACGCCATTAAAATTAGTGAATCATATATTGAGCTAATTGATTTAAACTTTTTTTTAATTGTAGTTTTCTGTCTATCTCCTTGTTTTCTCTTACGCCCATTGAACCAGACGTCACGTTAAAGTTGAACTCTTAAAATTGGGAGAATGCATTAAAAGGAAAGTTAAGTAATATACCAGTGACATAATACCACTACAGTATTAGGGATAAATTAACATTTGAACAATTAATTATATATTTAATAATTTTTTTAAAATCATATCTTATCAATCATACTCATGACTTAAATCAATATTTAAATGTGAACTCTAAACTAGGATTTTTGTAAATAATTACTCCAAACATAGCTTGTTATTTTCACCCCTCACCCCTGACCTTACAGACATGGCCGACAAAAATAAATACACTGTGCTACTTCCCACGTATGAGGAACGGAAGAACTTACCACTAATTGTTTGGCTTTTGGTCAAATCTTTTACTGAAAGGTTGGTTTAATAAGTTATCAACTAAGGTTTAAATTTAAGGAAGTAAAAGTACTCCTTAAGGAAGGAGGCCTATGACTTAATGAAAGAGTTTAGACTAAGACTTAAATTCATTATTATTTATTATTTAGTATAAGTCATAAGTATAGTAAAGTTATACAGTTATAGTCATAGTATTTAGTAGTATACTTATTGGTAAAGTATAGACTTGTCTCACTTGTGGAGATGGCTGATACTATCAATGATCAAAGAAAATGTCCTAGATCACTTGAAAGAGTGCAGTTGTCCTTGCAAGTCAATGATAAAGTGACAGTGAAAGTCAATGACTATGACTATGACTGAGTATGAGAGATGTCAATTAAATTGGTTTTAATATACAATATAAGATTTTGGCAATACAACAAGCGGAATTTCTTCTTCATACTTCATATACTTCTTGCCACAAAAAAATGCTGAAGAAAATGTTCAATTACATTGATATTTACATCAATAAATTGATTACAAAAGAAATGTGGTGCTGAGTAGGGATGAAGCTTGCGCAATGGTTTTTGCTCTTACTGAAATTTTTGCCTCAATTTAGTTCATAACATGACCAGACAGTGTATTGGTGCATTGTAGCAGAGTAGCTTTGGGCATTAAAAAATTGTGCTTCTGCGAAATTTTTAATATTACTTAAGACATAAATATGAAACATTACTAACCAAAAGGGTTTTTTATTGTTACGCAGACCTCTTACATTGAATTGTTAAAGAGATTAAACGACATTTGTTTTTAAAACTTTTAAAGGAGATTTAAAAACATGGTATATGCACCTGGATTTTAACCCCCAAAAAATTTATTTCAGTGGTTATGATTATGAGATTATAATAATAGATGATGGAAGTCCTGATGGTACTCTTGAAGCTGCCAAGGAGTTGCAGCGAATCTATGGAGAAAAGCGAATTGTAAGTATTCCATTTTAACACTTGAATAATAATGACAGTTTGAGTTAGCGGCAGTTAACAAAAATATTCATTCTTTCTTTCAGTTACCGGTACAGTAATTTTCAAATAAATTAATGTTATTTTTGTAACTGAAATTGTAAATGAGCATTTTTCAAATTTTAGCTTCTGAATAAAATTGTCTATTTCTCATATTCATTCAATCCTAGATAATTTGGATATGCTTTTAAAATTCAAGTGTGTTTTTATTTATTTATTCATCTATATTTTTTACAACCTCCAGCTCCTAAGGCCAAGGGAAAAAAAGCTTGGTCTAGGTTTGTATTTTTATCTTTTAATTATGTAAAAAAATAGACCATAATTTATAACTGACCTACTGGTCACCATTTAAAAAACATATATGACTTTAACTTTTTTGAGCATGAATATAAAATATGAGTGAACTAAAAATAAGTCTTAATTTTAAGATGCATTCAAACTGGCAAGACCTTACCCAAGCAGATGATATATTTAATATGTAAAATTATTTAATAAGTCTACTTTAAGTTAAGAAAAAACAAATATTTCTGTCTTAAAGGTACAGCATATATACATGGAATAAAACATGCAACAGGGAATTTCATAATAATTCTTGATGCAGATTTGTCACATCACGTAAGTTCATTTTCAGCTGTAATATTCCATGTGTAATTTAATGTAAATTAATTTTTAAACTGATTTATTTTAAGATATTTCTTTAACTTTAAGAAATAAGCTAATTTAATTTTATTATAAAAATGTTTTTATTTCTGTAAAATTTACACAGCCCAAGTTTATTCCAGACTTCATCAAGTAAGTGCACATTTTTCATGTAGTAATCTATTTTTTCATTATATAGTCTATATTATAGTCTATAATAAGTACAATGTAAGTTTTTCAGGCACATTAAATTCTCACAGCTTTTTCCCCCATTTGGACTATTAAAGGGACTGCAGGTGTATTTGTCAAATAAACTTTAGTTCATTGCCTAATTTCTGAATATTATTAGTGCACACTTTTAGTTAGAGAAAGTGATTTAGCAATTATGTAAGCGCAAGGACTGCATTTTAAATTTTTTTAAAGATAAGGTGCTTAAACAATAATCTGCACCAAGATTTTTTTAGAAACTGGTATTTTGTGGACTTATCCTTCTCTTGAACCAAAAAAAAACGTATCAAACATATTGGGCATTACTGTCACACATCTTCAATGGAATACTGTATCTCTGTGAGAGATATTTTACCTGCCTGTCACATTTACAGGGCTTTCATTTTACTGTTGACTGTTTGAGATCTAATAAAATATTCTTATAAGTTTATGCAATATATTTTACTAGTTTATACGGTTTTTAAAAAAAAATATTTTGAATAAGGGGGCCCAACATTGAACATGATCCCCTGGGTAAAAAAATATTCAGCTCTGAGAATTACCACAAGTTTTGTTTCTCTCTCAGACATAAACATAACAAGTAGACCTTTTTCTTACAATCAACTCAGTGAAAACTTTGTCAAAACAAGCTATTTGATAATAATAATTAAATTAACCAAAATAAAACAAATTTGTATTGTTTTATTATATAATTTATTTAAATCAGAAATGCATTTTTTTCAGACTATATATATAAATTTATATATATATATATATATTTATATATATATTTCCATGATGATTTCTTTAGAATAAAATTCACATTTTAAAAATGCGTTGATTGTCTCTATGCATGTTCAAGCTCAGCATGATGTTGGTTAAGGATGAGGATGATGCGAGTTGCAACTAAAGCATGTTGTTATTGAACCTAATAGCATTACTGATTCTGCTGGTTGGAAATCTAAATGTTATATTTTTCAATGTGTTGAAATAGAAAGCAGGCAGAGAAGGACTATGACGTAGTGACAGGTACTCGCTATGTTGGCACTGGGGGTGTGTATGGATGGGATCTCAAAAGGAAACTCATCAGGTGTGTTAGCAATGGTGGTGCGTTGGCATTGAGTGTGTTTGTGCAAGTGTTGTCCACTGTATGATTTTATGTTTTGGCAGTGATGTAAGGATGTAATTTCAAAAAGAACTTCATCAGCTGTATATAGTTGTATATTGTGCTTAAAATTTAAAACTATTAGAATCTATTGTAAAAAATGGAAGTAATGATTATTTTTGTCTTAAACTCTACTTTTAATGAGGTAAATTATTTTTGTGGCAGTTTAAAATGTCATTCCATTATTGACTGCAACATCATTGGTATGTAGCACACCAAGATGACCCAGTCAAAATCTCTACCAGAGTAACACAGGCGCTTTCCTTCAGGACTCTCATATCAGACCTACAAGACATTCTACTCATGCCTCTGTTCTAGGGTAGACTCCTTTAACTTTTGAATTGGTCCCAGTCTCCATTATTCTGTTTATCCTACAACAGTGCCATAAGGTTGTAGCCAGAAGTTTATTAGATAGTTCCACATGACAGCAAAGTCCTGAGGTGTTGCCGGAAAGTCATCAGTTAACTTTGAATTTTACTGCAACAATCAGTCAGCTTTACAAAAAAAAAAAACTATTATTTTTTCCATCTCAGTCGAGGTGCTAACTTGGTGACGCAGATACTTCTTCGGCCAGGTGTATCAGACCTTACAGGGAGTTTCCGTTTGTACCGCAAATCTGTGCTTGAAAAGCTTATAACCAACTGTGTCTCCAAAGGTTACACATTCCAAATAGAGATGATAATAAGAGCACGCCAGTTTGGCTTCTCAGTGGCTGAGGTTAGTATTTGGAGAAAAGCTAATCTCTGAATGAATGTGAAAATGATAGATGTAATTGGTCAACTGATAGTCCAATGATAGATTTAATTGGTCAACTGTGGTCAACTGATAGTCCAATGATAGATTTAATTGGTCAACTGATAATCCAATGATAGATGTAATTGGTCAACTGATAAATGTAATTGGTCAACTGATAGTCCAAGGATAGATGTAATTGATCAAATAATAATCCAAGATGAGTTTTAATATAGATTTATTTTTATTAATATCATCTGGTCAATGTTAAAAACAAATCCAGTTGTTTGTAATGATCAAATTTATTAATAAGGCAGTTATAATAATAGTGTATTGATCACATTTGTAGACAGAGTCTATGGATTATATGGCTTGATCAATACCTCTGACAATGTTGTTTTATTCACAGGTGCCCATCACATTTGTAGACAGAGTCTATGGAGAGTCCAAGCTTGGAGGCAATGAAATTGTTGGTTTCCTGAAAGGAATTCTCTTTTTGTTTGCTACTACATAGTTGAAAAAGCTATGGACATTTTAATATTGTTAAAATATATGGTCTGGGAATGATGTCCTGCTGTTTATGAAATAGTCTTAAAAAACTTCATAATGGGTTTCTCAAGGAATGAACTTTTATAGAATTAAATAGTTGTTTTAAAGTAAAGAGAGGTTTTATAACCAGCTGCTGAATTCTTGAAGTTCAATGAGTTTTATTTTAAAGTAATATCCCTAAAAACTAAAAAGCAATCATGTTTATTTGTGGTATTTTTGTGGTTGAAAAAATATTTTCTAAATAATAATTGAGCAGTTTCTTTATTTCAAAATTAGATATTAAAAAATGATATAAACTTATCCAGTTGTAGTTTAAATATTAACTTGGGAGATGATTTATGATCTTGCCTTTGAAATATTTCAATGTCATCTGATCTTGCCTTTGAAATATTTCAATGTCATCTGATCTTGCCTTTGAAATATTTCAATGTCATCTGATCTTGCCTTTGAAATATTTCAATGTCATCTGATCTTGCCTTTGAAATATTTCAATGTCATCTGATCTTGCCTTTGAAATATTTCATTGTCATCTGATCTTTCCTTTGAAATATTTCAATGTCATCTGATCTTGCGGTGTCTCCAATTGTTATAACAGTAAACCACTTGCAAAAAAGATCACGCAATTGTTTGTTCTAATTTTATTTTCCAACTTTCTTTTCGCTACAAGTATGTAATTAAAAGTAAACAAACGAATTGGCCCCATCCTCACCATTGCCCAGAGTCTACCTCTTTGTAGCTGTACTGTGAAAGCAGAATGTATGGAAAGAACATCCCACATTCATTCCAAGAATAACATTTGGTCTGTGTGTGTGTAGGAGAAAGAACATGGAATTACATTGGGAATGATAAATAACATCCCACACATTCAAACCCAAGAATGACACCAGGGGATGATAAATAACATCCCACACATTCAAACCCAAGAATGACACCAGGGGATGATAAAGAACATCCCACACATTCAAACCAAGAATAACACCAGGGGATGATAAATAACATCCCACACATTCAAACCCAAGAATGACACCAGGGGATGATAAAGAACATCCCACACATTCAAACCCAAGAATGACACCAGGGGATGATAAATAACATCCCATCATTCAAACCCAAGAATGACACCAGGGGATGATAAATAACATCTCACAGATTCAAACCCAAGAATGAAACCAGGGGATGATAAATAACATCCCACAGATTCAAACCCAAGAATGACACCAGGGAATGATAAAGAACATCCCACACATTCAAACCCAAGAATGACACCAGGGGATGATAAAGAACATCCCACACATTAAAACCCAAGAATGACACCAGGGGATGATAAATAACATCCCACAGATTCAAACCCAAGAATGAAACCAGGGGATGATAAATAACATCCCACAGATTCAAACCCAAGAATGACACCAGGGAATGATAAAGAACATCCCACACATTCAAACCCAAGAATGACACCAGGGGATGATAAATAACATCCCACACATTTAATTCCAAGAATGACACCAGGGAATGATAAAGAACATCCCACATTCATTCCAAGAACACCACCAGGGGATGATAAAGAACATCCCACATTCATTCCAAGAATGACACCAGGGGATGATAAGAACATCCCACATTCATTCCGAGAATGACACCAGGGGATGATAAAGAACATCCCACATTCATTCCAAGAATGACACCAGGGGATGATAAGAACATCCTACATTCATTCCAAGAATAACACCAGGGAATGATAAAGAACATCCCACATTCATTCCAAGAATGACACCAGGGAATGATAAAGAACATCCCACATTCATTCCAAGAATAGCACCAGGTAATGATAAAGAACATCCCACATTCATTCCAAGAATGTCACCAGGGAATGATAAAGAACATCCCACATTCATTCCAAGAATGACACCAGGGGATGATAAAGAACATCCCACATTCATTCCAAGAATGACACCAGGGAATGATAAAGAACATCCCACATTCATTCCAAGAATGACACCAGGGGATGATAAAGAACATCCCACATTCATTCCAAGAATGACACCAGGGAATGATAAAGAACATCCCACATTCATTCCAAGAATGACACCAGGGGATGATAAAGAACATCCCACACATTCAAACCCAAGAATGACACCAGGGAATGATAAAGAACATCCCACATTCATCCCCAAGAATGACACCAGGGGATGATAAAGAACATCCTACATTCATTCCAAGAATAACACCAGGGGATGATAAAGAACATTCCACATTCATTCCAAGAATGACACCAGGGAATGATAAAGAACATCCCACATTCATTCCAAGAATGACACCAGGGGATGATAAAGAACATCCCACATTCATTCCAAGAATGACACCAGGGAATGATAAAGAACATCCCACATTCATTCCAAGAATGACACCAGGGGATGATAAAGAACATTCCTCATTCATTCCAAGAATGACACCAGGGAATGATAAAGAACATCCCACATTCATTCCAAGAATAGCACCAGGGAATGATAAAGAACATCCCACATTCATTCCAAGAATGACACCAGGGGATGATAAAGAACATCCCACATTCATTCCAAGAATGACACCAGGGAATGATAAAGAACATTCCACATTCATTCCAAGAATGACACCAGGGAATGATAAAGAACATCCCACATTCATTCCAAGAATAACACCAGGGAATGATAAAGAACATCCCACATTCATTCCAAGAATGACACCAGGGGATGATAAAGAACATCCCACATTCATTCCAAGAATGACACCAGGGAATGATAAAGAACATCCCACATTCATTCCAAGAATAGCACCAGGTAATGGTAAAGAACATCCCACATTCATTCCAAGAATGACACCAGGTGATGATAAAGAACATCCCACATTCATTCCAAGAATGACACCAGGGAATGATAAAGAACATCCCACATTCATTCCAAGAATGACACCAGGGAATGATAAAGAACATCCCACATTCATTCCAAGAATGACACCAGGGAATGATAAAGAACATCCCACATTCATTCCAAGAATGACACCAGGGGATGATAAAGAACATCCCACATTCATTCCAAGAATGACACCAGGGGATGATAAAGAACATCCCACATTCATTCAAGGAATAACACCAGGGAATGATAAAGAACAGCCCACATTCATTCCAAGAATAACACCAGGGGATGATAAAGAATTAATTTCCTACCGGTGCTTCAAGTCCTATTCAGACTAAGGGCTGACATAATGATTCCTTATAGAATATTTTCCCTCAAGGGCTGACATAATGATTCCTAATAGAATATTTTCCCTCAAGGGCTGACATAATGATTCCTAATAGAATATTTTCCCTCAAGGGCTGACATAATGATTCCTAATAGAATATTTTCCCTCAACGGCTGACATAATGATTCCTAATAGAATATTTTCCCTTAGGGGCTGACATAATGATTCCTAATTTAATATTTTCCCTCAAGGGCTGACATAATGATTTCTAATTTAATATTTTCCCTCACCACTCCCTAACCTCCATACCATTTGAATATACTGGACACAAGGAATTCAATAAAGCTACATGTTATTTATTTTGACACAGACTTTATTTTCAAATGGAAAGAAGACAATGTCTGACATGTAAAAATGGCATTAAGAAAATGATGGAAGTACAGAAATGATCTGAACATGTTAAAAAACATGATATTGATAATTGTCTCGCAGAAGCAAATGGGGAACCTTTAAATATAATATGATGACTTTATTCAGTGGATCAGACTATATTACTACAGTTTTAAGTACAGTTCTTAAATTAAATAACTGCAATCTAAGTTATTTATTTCCCTTTCTTGGCATACATTGAACTACCCGGTAAAGTAATAAGATATTTAAAATGTTGAATTCACAGAACTCAAAGAAACAACAATAATGAGGGCATAATGGAGTATAGGAGTATAACGAACTTTGGAAAAAAAAGTACCAGTTACTACCAGTACCTTGAAAACATTTAAACTAAGAAACTACACATTTCTTAGAACACATACATGCCAAGCTGTTCTGATAAAGTGAACATGTTGGTGTGGAGGGTGTTTTGGCTTATCATTGATTATGGATGCTTATGTAACACAGCAAATCTCCTTTAATTAGGTCAAATAATTTTTTTCTCACCAACTTTACTAAGCATTTAAACAATGTGCATATTATTGATCTTTATATTTTTGACTTAATTATCTCAAGATCATCTATCTTTCTTTTCCAGGAATTACTAAAAGGGGTGAACAAAATATTGAAGGATGGGGGGGGGGGCTTCATGAATTAAGGTCATAGCTGAACTCAGCTTCATATTTGGTGTGACAAAATTAATTAATAAGTAGACAGTCCATTTTGAAGTTTAAATGCTCCATTAAAATATACAATAATGTTCCTATAAAAAGACAAGAATTATATAACTATGGTTCAATTTAACAAAAGATATTTAATAAATTAACTGTTTTCTAAGATTCAAATATCTATAATGTAAAAGCACTTTTGTTCACTGTTGGAAGAAGGTATCCCTATGGGAACTATTGGGACTTACCAAAATATTCATCATCAGATTCACAATTTCTACTCCTGCATTTTCTCTGTCACTTTTATGCACTGTCAACTACTATTAAATATTGCACAATAGTTCAAAACCTGGGAGATTGTTTTAACATGAAATAATTGTACAACATAACTAAGCTAATAATATGTATGACATAGAAAGGAGAAAAATAGATACACAACGTTACAAGGATCTCTCAGCTTTGAGGATTATGTCAAGAAACAAATTTCCATTGTTCAATTTTGTTTGAGATGTTAAAACAGGCAAAGTTTGTAGACAATCCAACTTTAATAAATTTATTGTCACCGTAATAGTTTGAATTTGAGTTTACAAAGTGGTGCAGCACTATTTAATAATTAGAAAACAATTTCTCAATTCTATCTAGTTATGTTAGTTAGTCTTGGTCCGCTGTTATAGTTAGTTCTATAAACAGCCCACTTTTTGTATACCTCTTGATAGCATCAAAGTGTTGTCAAAGTATATTGCTACAACAGTATAGGGAAATAGATATTCCTCATTGGAACACTGAAAAGGAAACAAAGAATTCAGCTCAATGATTATTTCCCCCTATGTTACAAACACAGAAAAATGTAACAATCTTAAAAATCACATCTCCATTATATTAAAAGAAACCAGATCTTCTCTGTATACATTTTGCAGTCACACATCAACACATTCACACATCTTAAAAATTCAGTTGTCCATACTTATAACACATTCACACATCTAAAAATTCAGTAATTCATGCATATAACACATTCATACACCTAAATAGCCAGTTTAATAATTCATCGCACCACTGAAATCACAGTCTTGGGGTTATCACATAATCAAAACTAAAGACAAATGATAAGCAATGTCACCAAAGTAATGCAGCAGGAGTAGTAAAATTTTTATTTAAAAAATTTCAGCATCACCAAGAAATTGAAATTCTCCTTATTTAAATAAAACCAACGTATTTGGTTACGGCCATCAACTTCTTGTCTATTTTCAAGTAACTGTTGTGGCCAACAGTTAATCAAACCCATTCAACTAAACTGTTCAATAATCCCAGTTACCTTATTTTTGTTGGTCCCAATTGGTAACTTTAAAGAAAAAAAGCTATCCCATCCATTCAATCAAAAAAAATTTAGTTTAAAAAGTGTCGCAGCCCACCTGGTACCTACTCTGTTTTACTTCTCTAAACTAAAGAAGTTCAAGTTGAAGGAAAATTAAAATTTTTTGAGTATTTTTTTTTTTTAAATAGCAGTGTATTTGAGCTGGAGTTGTCGTCACTAACAACCGATACATTCCTCAACATAGTTCTGATAGGTCCTCCTCGTTCTCTCCATCTTTTTGAAATTCATCTTTTTCCCCATCAAAGTCCTCATCTCGTTGGCTGTATGTACTTGTAGTGGCAGCTGATCTGGATGTTGTGATACCTCCAGGAAATTTCAAGTCTCTGGCTAGTCTCGCAAACTGAAGAATTCAAGGGAAAATTCTAAGATATCAAGAACTGAAATGCTTTTTTATACTAAGCTTAAAACATAAGTAGCTCATCAAATTTATACATAGGGCTTTGTTGAAAAAATAAATGGGGCCATGGGAAAGGTCCATGAAAATTTAATTAATTTTTTCATACATAGTGTACATATATGATCCAACTTAAATTATTTACATTCAGAAATGGTCATATTTATATTCTCTAACAAGAGATTTGTCGGGAAAATATGTAACAAGTAACCAACAATCACCATGTTATCAAGATACTTGAAGATTGGTTTTGCAAGCACAAGCTGACCGGCCTCATCATCGCCATCATCATACGCTCTTAACAAGTCTTCAAGAGCACCAGCTTCTTCACTAGCTCCAAACTCAGGAAATCTGAATCAAATAAGGAACATTGAGTGGCAAATGCAATCAGTTTCTGTAACTCTGAAGAAATGTAAAACATTTAGGTTCAACAACCGGGTACATTCAACTATGATAAATTGTCTCAACTTTGACCCTCCACAGTCTAAGACACAAGCTTTGAAAACCGGTAATCTAATATAATGTGCAAAAACTCAATTCGTTAGACAAGAGACTTCAATTTATTATGGCAAGTTGTCTGTTCCAAACAGATATAATATAATTAAAATATATTAGTAAGAGGCATTTTAAACAAATATACACATTTAACCCTTTCATAAGTGGCAGCTCAGAAATTGAACCTTATGAATTGTTACGTTAGCTGAGGGAAACAAAACCCCATCTTGAGGACAGAGTTGTAGTGAAAGTTTAAATTTTTTTCGAGTGCTATACCCCTAGGTTCAGGGGTATAAATTTATTGAGTTACACGATGACATGAAATAAAGTGAATTGGGTTCAGGGGTATAAATCGATTGAGTTACACGATGACATGAAATAAAGAGAATTGGGTTCAGGGGTATAAATCGATTGAGTTACACGATGACATGAAATAAAGTGAATTGGGTTCAGGGGTATAAATCGATTGAGTTACACGATGACATGAAATAAAGAGAATTGGGTTCAGGGGTATAAATCGATTGAGTTACACGATGACATGAAATAAAGAGAATTGGGTTCAGGGGTATAAATCGATTGAGTTACACGATGACATGAAATAAAGTGAATTGGGTTCAGGGGTATAAATCGATTGAGTTACACGATGACATGAAATAAAGTGAATTGGGTTCAGGGGTATAAATCTATTGAGTTACACGATGACATGAAATAAAGTGAATTGGGTTCAGGGGTATAAATCAATTGAGTTACACGATGACATGAAATAAAGAGAATTGGGTTCAAGGATGGTTGCTTTATGATAATGCATTATTTTCTCATGCTCTGATGATGTTGATTCTGTAATGTCAAGTTCTTTCCCACATTATAAAATCTGTCATATAATTAAGCCACAATGAATATTACATTTTTTTAATCCCATAATGTCAGGACAGTATAGTATACTTTAAAGACATGTGCTTTAATGGTGAGAGTTTTTTTAATAGCAATGCTTGATAGCGTTTCTGGCAAAATATTTTTTTGGCACATTGTTGAATGGGTTAATGAAAAAACTTTATCTTTTGTCTTGATGTCAATTTGGATGTGGTTGGTCATTTACCCGAGGCATTCTCTGAAGAACTGATCGGCAGCTACATAATCTTCCTGTGTCAGGTGTAACAGGATCACACCCATGGCCACTTTTTTAATGTACGTGTAGTTCTCTGCTTCTATCCAATACTTGATTTCTTGTTGTAGAGACTTAATGGCTTCTTCATATCTGATGAAAGAAATTACTTCAAATGTTAACACTGATGAACTACATTGATCTGATAGAAATTACTTCAAATGTTAGCACTGATGAACTACATTGATCTGATGATAGAAATTACTTCAAATGTTAGCACTGATGAACTACATTGATCTGATGATAGAAATTACTTCAAATGTTAGCACTGATGAACTACATTGATCTGATAGAAATTACTTCAAATGTTAGCACTGATGAACTACATTGATCTGATGATAGAAATTACTTCAAATGTTAGCACTGATGAACTACATTGATCAGATAGAAATTACTTCAAATGTTAGCACTGATGAACTACATTGATCTGATAGAAATTACTTCAAATGTTAGCACTGATGAACTACATTGATCTGATAGAAATTACTTCAAATGTTAGCACAGATGAACTACATTGATCTGATGATAGAAATTACTTCAAATGTTAGCACTGATGAACTACATTGATCTGATAGAAATTACTTCAAATGTTAGCACTGATGAACTACATTGATCAGATAGAAATTACTTCAAATGTTAGCACTGATGAACTACATTGATCTGATAGAAATTACTTCAAATGTTAGCACTGATAAACTACATTGATCTGATAGAAATTACTTCAAATGTTAGCACAGATGAACTACATTGATCTGATGATAGAAATTACTTCAAATGTTAGCACTGATGAACTACATTGATCTGATGATAGAAATTACTTCAAATGTTAGCACTGATGAACTACATTGATCTGATAGAAATTACTTCAAATGTTAGCACTGATGAACTACATTGATCTGATAGAAATTACTTCAAATGTTAGCACTGATGAACTACATTGATATGATGATAGAAATTACTTCAAATGTTAGCACTGATGAACTACATTGATATGATGGCTATGATATTACATGGACCTTAAATATTTTAAGTTATAACACAAAGCTGTAAAAACTGTAACAATTTAATATCCATTAGTAGTAGTAGTCTTATATACCGCGGTACCCCAGCCTAGAGCTAGGCTCACCGCGCTGTACATAAAAATATTACCAAAAGAGACATAATCGTGACTTAAAAATAAAATACATTTATGTAATAGCTGTGTAGCAACAAAACAAAAACAAATGTATATACACCCCACCCACTCCAGAATTTTTACATGTCAAGCCATGAACGGCAGCCAGCAGCATAGTTTATTGGTCAAAGGGGGGAATCAGTCGGGGTAGTAGAGTTTAAAGAGATGTGTTTTCAGTGCAGTTTTGAAGGCATGGGTGGTTGGTATATTGCGGATGTGTAGTGGCAGAGAATTCCATTGTTTGGGGGCAGAGAAAGATCGTTCACCATATGTTTTAGTGCGCATCTTGGGAACGGACAGAATAAGCATGTCTCTGGAGGAGTGAAGGGATGAATAGACAGAAAGAAGTTCGGTTAGATAGGAAGGGCAGGAATCCGAGAAAAAGTTGTGACAGAGAACAGAAAGCTTGTAATCAATGCGTGCCTGTATGGGGAGCCAAGGAAATGAGTGGAGTAGTGGAGTGACGTGATCACTTTTTTTTTTCCCTTTATAACTAGCCTAGCAGCTGAGTTTATAACCTTTTGTAGTTTTTCTATAAAGTGTTTTGGTGAACCTGACAGAAGATGGTTGCAATGGTCAAGATGAGAGAGAACTAGAGCACAGACTAGGGTTTTTGTTGCACTAACTGTGAGGTAGTGGCGGATGGAGCTGATCTGACGGATAGCGGTGTATGCAGAACGACAAATGTGAGAGATATGTTTATCGAGAGGCATTTTGTTAGAAAGAATATAACCAAGATTCCTAGCAGAGGGTGTAAACTGTAAGTCGGAGTTACCTACTTGAAATGAGGTGGGGAGAGTTGAGGTAGAGGATGATTTGTGATTGTGAATGAGGAGTGCTTCCATTTTGTCCTCATTTAGCTTCAACTTGCTGAGTGTCATCCATGACTTGACATCCCCAATGCACTCCCGCAAAGTCTGGACAGTGGAATTGACAAGAGAGGGATGGGTATGCTTGTACAGCTGCGTGTCATCTGCGAATGATTGGCTCAAGCATGTCCAAGCAACAGGAGCAGTAGCCTGGTATACAATGTCAATAGAATCGGACCCAAAACAGACCCCTGTGGTACTCCGTACACCAAAGCAGCACTGCTGGAGAGACAGCCATCGACAGAGACCGCCTGTATTCTATAAGAGAGGTAGGACCTAAACCAAGCCAAAACTGAGCCAGAAATTCCAAGTAATTTTCAAGGGTTTTGTAAAGGGTTTCATGGGCAACAGTGTCGAAGGCCACACTGAGATCTAAGAGGATCAGGATGGAGACATTACCGCTGCCCATTGTGCGCAAGAGGTCATTACTGACTCTCAAGAGAGCTAGCTGTCTCTGTGCTGTGGAAATGTCTAGGCCGACTGATAAGAACTGAGAAGGGAGTGGTCGTTTAAGTAAGCAAAAAGTTGTTTTAGTACAAGTTTTTCAATGATTTTAGATAAAAATGATAAGTTAGATACAGGTCTATAGTTTTTTTAATTATTTTCATCCAGACCAGGCTTTTTAAGCAATGGTTTGATGACAGCTGACTTACAAAGTGGGGGAACAGGGCTAGAAGACAAGCTTTCATTGATTATATGGGTTATCGTTGGGAGCAAATGATCTAATGACTCAACCAACAGGGGGGTGAGGATGGGGTCCAAAGAACATGACGTAGGTTTAGATTTTAGAATTTTACTTTTGACCTCTAGTTCTGAAACAGGTTTAAAAACATCAAAATGTGAACTAACACAAGAAGAAGAAGGCAAATCTAGAGACGGTACGTCAAGATAATCGAGCTCAGCGCGAATGCCAGCAACTTTGCTTGTAAAGAAATCACAGAAAATATCTGGTTGTTGGGGCAACAGAAACACTGAAGGAAGAGCAGTTTCTTTGTTACTACCTCTGAGGTGGATATAAACATCAAACAACTGCTGCTGGTTTTACCCATAATTATCTTTTGGCTAAACTACAAGGCCTTAGCATGACAAACAATCTGAGTGACACACTTCTTGGCAACGGAATACATCTGGTTAAATACCACAAGAACTGACCTCAACTACTTCTTTTCCGCACGATGCCGCTCTTTCTTGGCACTGCATAGTTCTTCCCTTATGGTCTCATACCAGGGAGCTGACCGTGCTAACCTAAAATTGCAGCGGGTGACAGGGGTGTGCCGGTCAAGCACAGCACGCAATGCACAGTTTAGCATTTCCAAAGTAGGGCAGAGGGTGGGGGACACTTCTAAACTCAGGTCATGCTTAAAGGCATCCCTGTTTATAGTTTGCAGACTGCGGACCTCCTTGAACTGACGGAGAAGATTGGGGGCCCTAACACTAAGCTCACAAACAACACAGAATTGGTCAGAGGACAGCTCTTGAGTAATTGAAGTAGATCTAATCACACCATCCTGAGGCCTATGAAGCACCCAATCAAGAGCATGTCCACGATTATGAGTCGGTTGGTCGACTGATTGATGAAGACTTAATAAGTCCAAAAGATCCATCATCCTGGCACTGGACTGGTGCTGTGGCTGATCGAAGTGAAAGTTCATATCGCCTACCACAATATAAGTCCAACCATATTGACAGAAATTAAAAGAGACTGACTGTTCTGGAGAATGCTGGATCAAAGAAGAGGGCAGGTGGTATAATACCAGAGACCAAGGACCAGAGGACTCATCTGTCGATTGCAGCAGATATGGATAGAGGTGTGGAGGAAAATCTATGAAAGCACACAGACAGACAGCAATAGACTTGTCTAAATGGATGGATGTGGCGTTGAGGCCAGAACATATTCACTGCAACAGACACTAAGAGTTAAGTCCCCAAAAACTTACTTAAAACACTTGACTTGCAACCTGGCAGCTTTCCCAATGTACTCTGCACTCTGGCGTGGTCTCCCTTCTATCTGAAATGTGAAGAAGTATTTGGTGAAAATGCCACCCTAACCACATTTGTTCATTATAACTAACTTAATTTAAAGGCTCATTGAGTCCTTCCTCCTGAAGGGATACAACTTACCTCTGCTACCTCACAAGCTTTTGTGTATAAATGAATGGCTTTCTCTGGCTTATCTTGCTCGACCATTCTAAACAAAAAAAAATTAATATGTGCAAATATTTATAGAAGATACTCAAGTGCATAGTTATACCTAGATAAAAGAATGACAAGGCAATGGGGGAAATAAGGATTTTTTTGTGTGAATTCTTTTATTTATTTATAAATTTATATTTATTTAGAGATGTCCTTGGTCTCCATTAATATCTTTTTGTTAAATAAATTTTTGTCAGTTAGCTTTGCACAATCAAGAAACTTTTTAGTCATCTTTGCACAATCTAGAATATCTTTAGTCAGCTTTGCACAATCTAGAATCTTTTGAGTCAGCTTTGCACAATCAAGAATCTTTTGAGTCAGCATTGCACAATCAAGAATCTCTTTAGTCAGCTTTGCAAAATCTAGAATCTTTTGAGTCAGCTTTGCACAATCTAGAATATCTTCAGTCATCTTTGCACAATCTAGAATCTTTTGAGTCAGCTTTGCACAATCAAGAATCATTTGAGTCTGCTTTGCACAATCTAGAATCTCTTCAGTCATCTTTGCACAATGTAGAATCTTTTCAGTCAGCTTTGCACAATCAGGAATCTTTTCAGTCAGCTTTGCCCAATCAAGAATCTCTTTAGTCAGCTTTGCACAATATAGAATATCTTCAGTCGGCTTTTCACACTTAAACAACTGTAATCTAGTGTATATTGTTCCCTCCATTTTTTTGCTGCTTGATATTTTTGCATATCATTGTTTTCACATGTTCAAATTGTAGCAGAACATTTAATTTCATGGTAAAATCTAATCTCTATTAACTCAAGATGTGAACAATAGAAAAATTTGCAATGGTTAAATGATCCATGAAAAGAAGCCGTTTACTAAATCTGAGCAGCTGTTTAGGACATAGGGAAGTTGGTTAAATTTCCTTTCAAAGATGTTGAGCCATAAACCAAAGCAAGTTAAAAAAAAAAGATGTTAATAATAGAACGGTTGATCTAAAATTAAGTTGAAATCTCCTCACTGAAGTAGCATACTTGAAATGTATTAAAGTCTAATTTCAATGCTCTCTAAGTATAATTATATCTCTAACTAACACACATATTCTGGTGAGGGTCTGAGATTACTCTCTTATGACCCCGGCTAGTAAATTGGCTATCAACTCCATCTGTTGAGCTGAGCCATACAACATTTCCCTCACAAAGGGTCCTCCAACAGCCCTGGCTTCCCCCGGGAGATCTAGTGAGGGACATTTGGTCAACAGGTGCTCTAGAGTCTCCAGGCCAGGCTGCAATGCCGGCAGGTAGGATCCCTATTGTTATAAAACACTTACTGTTGATGTCAATTTTAAGTTAAAATTATTGATAATAATCAGATAATAAAATGTAAACTGATTAATTTAGAAGACACCTACTTGGCAGCTTTGTCTAGACATAAGGCAGCTGTGTCTGGCGTGCCATGTTCCTGGAACATCAGAGCGGCTAGTTCCATCCAGTGTACAGCCTCATCATACTGCTTGTTTTCCTTACATAGCAATCCTGCTTGTTCATAAGCCCTGATATGCAAGGGAAGAATTTCAAAATAAGAATAAGAACATAGGCAATGGAGCCATTCAAATTTACTAACACCCTGTTTACTTATCCATGGGCCTCTTAAACATTTTGCTGACATATGGAAGGAGGATAGGGGACATTAAAAAAGAGGGGGGAGAGTTGTAAAGTCTGACCAAAATCACTGTTCTGAGAGAAATAGATTGAGATTTTATTTGACTGGTTATTCTAATTCTAATGTTTGGCATTTTATGACTAGTAGAAATAAACAGTGGGTGTTTATAACTAAATAACAGTCTTGCAATGATTCATTTGAAGGAATCAAGAATGTATTATTTAAAATTATTGAGAAGGGGATATGAAATAAAAAATAACTAGTTTCTCTAATGATGATTTTTGTTTGATAGCCAGTTTTTCCAAGACCAAATGAGGAAGACCTGCAATTATTTCACCATGGCCTCAAGCTACAGTGCCCATGCCATAATGGCAACTAGATCAGAATGAGGATTTTTAAAAAATGGTTTAAGAACCAGAATGAACCAGTTATATGCCAGCTCTGAATACATTGACCAAATTTTAAGGGGAGGAAAGGGACTGAGTTCTTTTGAAATTAACATGTAACATTAGCAGTAGTTGTTCTAACTTAACCTTCCTTAACAAAAATAAGACAAAATCTAAAATATACTTACTTTGCAGCGTGAAACGGTCTGGCATTTGATCAAGGATAATAGCTTCATTGTGTACACTGATTTATAATTATATATCTTCCAGTTTTGTTTGATTTAAATCTATTTCTAAAAATTGGTAAATATTGATATAAATAATATTAAAAATGTTAAAAATGAATTAAATGAAACAAACTTTAAATAATGTGAAGTTGGATAGGATAAAATTATTATTAAAAGTGAAGCAAGGTTAGCTCACAGCTTAAAAGGTCTGAAACAATTTACAAGAATAATTTCATTTCTTTAAAAAAATTCTGTCTCTAAGGGTTTCCAAACTCTACTGTGCAAAAAACTTAACACATGCCCTTAAATGTGCCTATATCCTTTATTACATTGAGGGGCATGCAGAGAATATGGTTGCCAGTCACAGGAAGTTTGAAAAGTACTGAACTCGAATATTGCTACATATTTCACTTTGCTTTGATGGATGAATATTCATGAAAATCTGAAAGTTATTTTTAAAAAAGATACGCATTCATGGCCTTCTGAAGTTCACCAACTTTTATGTAAGATTCCTTAGCCTGGTCCAGGGCTTTAGCATTTCGGAAAGCTGTAGCTGAAAGTAAAAGATTATTGCCAGTTAGCCTGCACCTTCTTATTATCTAACAGTAAAATTAATAAGCATGCAATGTCTTCAGGGAAATTAATTCTAATATGAGTAAAGGTTTTCCTTTTGCATGTAGGTTCAAATAGAGTGATTCCTGATAAATTTGTTCCTATGCCATGTGGTGTTTTACTAGTAAACAATACTGCAGTACCTTCCAGTCTAGATTCAATCACTACTTTTGTATTTTTGAAGTTTTAGCTGTTTAAATTTGAAAAGTTATTAAATGAAACTGTGTCAAACTTTAATTTATATTTCACCATGTTTCACAAACAACAAAAACAACTTAACAAGAAGCTGTGTAAAATTGTCAACAAATGCCTTTAAATTGTTCTCCTCACCAGCTTTGAGGTACTCCGCTGCGGCTCCATCTTGATCAGGCTTCCACTTAAAAAGAGATGTTTTCAAGCTGGGTCAAAATAAACAATAAATCATATTTATATTTTATTTTAAAGGAATACAAAGATTTTTTTTAATAAACTCAATAATCAGTACAGGGTCCACTTTATGAGTTTAAAGAATTGTTGTTATCCTGTTTATTTTAACTTTTAAAATATATTAGTTGTAACACCATTTATTGTTTATTTAATGGGGAGCAGCAGATGTGCTATTTGGTTCCTCAGCTGATTTTTAACTCAATCATTTTTTAGTTTCAACAACAAGATAGCATATTGGATATCTTTTCATAGAATCTAAAATAGCAGGATGAATAACCAACAATTTAGAAGGATGTGAATTCAAAGTCACTATTTTTTGCCAGAGTCAAAGTGGACACCTGCTAAAACAGAGGTTCTTTGTCTTTCTCCCAAAGTATGCCTTTTTTCAGCTTAATCCCTATCCTCTGATAATAATTAATTATTTAAATTTCAACCAAAAGTAACTCATGTGGTTTTTTTAAAACTTGATGAACTAAGTCTTGACTTAAGCTTAAGTATTCTTACTCTTCTCACTTAAAAAATACAGTAACCTAAGCAAAAACAAAATGTATTTGAATGAATTCCACTTATTGAGTTAACCTGTTTAATGTCAGATAAATAAGTTTTCTTAGGCAACTAAGGCCCCAATTTTAATCATATTAATTATTAATAGGCAAAATAATATGGCCTATCAGTTATTGATATATTCATATGTTTCTTATAATATTAAAATTAGAAGTGAAATCATTACTAAGTACACAGACCCGAGGGACCATCCTTAAATGATGTCATTTAAATTTAGGCCAATTTTTACCCCCCTCCCCCAAGTATTGGCCACAAAATTTTTAAATCCTCACAACAAATTTGTTTGTTTGGTTTCAACCCCCCTTTAATTAATTAGTCATGTGTCAAAGTTAAAAGTTCAAAATAAGTAGTCCCCAAATAGTATTTTAGACAATATAGCATATACCGGTAAAATGGACATCGTAGATTTGGTAAACAGAAAAGCCATATATTAATACATTATATTAAATTTACTGATATACATAGAGTTTAGTTAGGTAATCTACAATTTATCTATAATAGTATAACATTATTAAAATTATTTTTTAATATACCATTAGTTCTGAAAATACAAGTTGTTTAAAATTATAATTAAAATGAGAGTTATATAGCTCATGACGTGAACAGTGGAATTGGGTCACAGAATGTGAAGATGCGATTCATGTTAATGTTAAAAAAGGACAAAGTAAGTCGTACTTTAAAAATTCAAAGCTTCAAAACTACAACAGCTAAAAATATATGATTTTGGTTTTATAATTATGTAAAAAAAAAAATTAGTTCTTTTCAACTATGCCATCGGTTTATTTTTACAAAATTTTTAAAAATTTTACCAAAGTGCATTAGATTATATTTATTAATTTATATTATTTAGTAGTCCCCTATTTAAAAATGTATAATTACGAATGCCTGCCTTATAATTTATAATTATTACATTACATCTAAAATATACAATGGATTACGAGACTGAAATGTGATCACAATTAATGAGATTGTTTGACAGTGACTAGTAACTAATACTAGTACTACTACACTAGTCACTAGTCTTAGGTCTAGATAGCAACTGGTAATTGAAGTTGACTGATACTGATTGAGTTACACTGAGTACTGAGAAACTGAGACAGAGAAGACCTCAGAAGAGTAGACTTATACAGTGTGAGTGACACAAAAAAACAGGCATCAGTATCACCATCTCTACCATAAATTAAATGTATGGTGCGGGTTTGGTTTTATATGAAGCCTTTTAAAAAAATAATACAATAAAAATAATACAATTCATACTATTTATCAGCTAGACGAAGATGCTCTAGGCCCTCGGCAATTTTCTGATCGCTTTTAGCAGCCATTTTGAAACAGTGTGACTTCCGTCGCAACGAGTGCCATGATTTTATTCATTCACTTAATAATTACGATGGGTTTGTTTTTTTTTTTTGTGTTGGTTTATAACTTTAAAAGGGTGAGAATTATTTTGATTCTCTTTGGCATCACGTTTTTGTCAAATAAAAACAAAGTTTGCAGTTGTAAAATATAATAATATTAATTATTGAGGTCCATATTGAGGTATTCTATGTGGACACTCTTTTCTGTTTTATTAATACCGGTATTAAAATTGGAACGGTAAATTATTATTAAAATGACATACACAAATTGTGTAAATAAATCACATACCTACTCTAGACTAGACAGCAATGTTTAAGTTTATGAATACCCTGCCAAATCAATTTAAAATTTGCAATGTTATTAACTGAAACTGTAATTAATTTCTTACCCTACATAAAAGGCTTATTTCAAATGTAGAAGTCGACTTATATGTTATATTTTGGGACCATAAACGTTAAATGTCTTCCCCCCACCCCTTTTTTAAAAAAAATACGGTGTGTACATTTTTTTTACATATTTTTTTTTAATCCCTTGACAGATCATGATACTTTACATTAACTAAAGGGAGGTAATCGGAAATTAAACATCTTATAAATTTATATATATATATATATATATATATATATATATATATATATATATATATATATATATATATATATATATATATATATATATATATATATACATATATATATACAGAGAGAGAAAGAGAGAGAGAGAATCCTTCTTCTCTAGACTTTCCTAGAATGTTCGATATGACGTCAGCATATGTCGTCAGTAATCTTAGAATTATGGTCGGTTTGACATGATGATGACATGGTGTCGAATCACGATTAATGCTAATTTTCTCAAGTTTTTCGTTTTCTTTGTAAGACAGGGTTGGTAAAAGTAAAAATGTAATGTCAGAAGTCATGTTTAAATCCTTTACATCGTCAAGGTCATCCTCCGTAATGATGGAAGCCATGAAACGATCAAGTATTTGTTTTTTTGCGGGGTTTTCTCGGAACTCACTGGTTGTACGTCTTTGTCACGGTTGTGGTATTTCATTAAACCTGTTGATATGATTGGTTTTTGGGGGAAAATCCCTTTCTTAATGGTAACATTAAATTTAGTCGTACGTCGAATCACTGAATATGGTCCATCCCTGAATAAATTCAGTTCGGTTTTTTTGTTGTTTTTTTTTTGTTGTTTTTTTTTGTATAAATAAATATTCTTAGAAATGTTTTTTTCTGTGATCGCATTCTTTCATTTGAACTTTTGGGGTCTCATTATTGGAGAGCGCTAGTTCGGTTGACACTTGGAGTCCGTGTCTTATCTCAAATAAATATTGGTAAACAATCATTTTTTTCCCCTTTTATAAAATCATCAGTAAATAGCTATTTCATTATAGACATTGGGCCTCGGAATTTACGTCCATATACCATTTCATAAGGGTAAATCTTGGTGGATTCATTTGGCAAATAATGCTACACTTATCACATCTATCCCAATTATCGGGTTCGTTAGCGGCCAGTTTGCGCATCATTGATTTCAGTGAGCCATTGAACCTCTCAGTCAACCCATTCGAACTGGGATGATATGGTGGGCCATTGAACCTCTCAATCAACCCATTCGAACTGGGATGATATGGTGGGCCATTGAACCTCTCAATCAACCCATTCGAACTGGGATGATATGGTGGGCCATTGAACCTCTCAACCAACCCATTCGAACTGGGATGATATGGTGGGCCATTGAACCTCTCAATCAACCCATTCGAACTGGGATGATATGGTGGGCCATTGAACCTCTCAACCAACCCATTCGAACTGGGATGATATGGTGAGCCATTGAACCTCTCTACTAACCCATTTGAACTGGGATGATATGGTGAGCCATTGATCCTCTCGACCAACCCATTCGAACTGGGATGATATGGTGAGCCATTGATATTATCATATGATTTTGATATTATCATTTTTTTCTGGATAAGGGCTCAGTGAGCCATGTCCCTCGACCCTGTCCTCCCTTTTACTCGGCAGTCTTCGGCACACTCAGTGTCTGCTTCCCCATTTCCCTGCACCGATCAACGTGTAAGTAATATGGTTTGTATCCAAGCGAGTGACAAAAGATTACCTTGGGAGTCATCAACCGGAGTAAATTTAGTTTGTGCATGATACTTGACGTCATAAAGGCACTGGACGTCCTTATGCCTAATGTGCGTGCTGATAGATGCCCTTCCCCTTCACTCAGGACGCGATACAAATCCTTCCCCCGCTCAAATTGTCCAATAGAAACACTGACTTTAGGCATAGGCCTAAATGTAGGCGTACCTCTGCATTTTGAAGTAATAAAAAAAAAATTTTTTGGCGGGTCTCCTTTTCGCTCAATTTCTGCGCCACTTCCCGATAAAAATGACTACATATTTGGGCCTGGTAGCTAGCGTAGTGCCAACCTGGGTGAGTGAAGAGTTTTTACATACTCCCTTTCATGATACAAACTCTGCATGCCCAAAAATGCCACATCTCTATACAAAGAAAAAAAAAAGTGACACAGGGTGGATACCCCCATCCGTCACCCCTAGCTACGCCACTAGCTGGTTTTGCCCGCCCGCACATCTGAAATGCCCCCCCCCCCCCCCCCCCCCCCTCCCCCCCCACCTATTTTCCTCGGCAAAACTTTGCAACAGGCCCACAATGCCGCCCTCTATAAAATTGTATATTCCCCTGTGGTGGACTGCCCACCCTTCCATCGCCACCGGCACTGCCCACATGCAAATATTTGAAATCCGCCCCCCCCCCCCAAACCGAACACGTCATTGAAAGAAACACCGCTTAAATGACATTCATGTGTAAAGCCACCGTGATTGACTGTCAGTAATGAAACAAGCCACACAAAGGTAATAAAAAAACAAAGCTGTAATTTTTTAAAACAAAATATGTTGCATGATCAACATGTTTTTGACAGTGTCAAGAAATCAGGTTCCATGAGTCTGGTCAGGATTTGGGCTTAGGCCTACCTTGTGTTGGGTTGGTTTTTATTTGTCTGTGATGAAATTTTAGGCCATTGCAAAAAATAATAATACGTAAATAAATTAACAACCAGCCATCAAAACCGTGTCGAAGCATTATGCCGTAAGTGATGAAAAACGTGGGGTCAAAGGCCAAAGCGACATGAACACATTTTACTTGTCGCTTGTCATTTAATGGCGGAAATCTATAAATAGAACTCATGTAATCATCCCGGTGCTAGGTTGCCGAGTGGTCTAAACTGAGCAAATCTCAAGATGGTGGTCTGGGGTTCAATCCCCACCAGTCTAGCAAGAACATCACCAGCACCCCGGGTGGATGGGTCTCGTTAAACTTGGATGGCAACTCATCTAAGAGAAGGAAACTCTGACTTCAAACCCGGAGATGGAGTCTTGTAGGCGGATAACATTGGTACAATGAAACATTCCGACAACTCCTGTGACGTCAATGGTGGCAAGGTGTATCATCCACATGATAACCCCTTGGGTTATCCAAAGGCGTGGAGAGAGGCGATTTGCTGTTGGGAACCAGCTTATAATCCTAGAAGAATTATCCCAGGCCTTGTCGGATTTCGTCCTTCGAAGTCTACGCCATGGTCACATTGTGACGGACGGATGCCAGCCAACGCCATGGTCACATTGTGACGGACGGATGCCAGCCAACGCCATGGTCACATTGTGACGGACGGATGCCAGCAAAAATCATCCGACTCAGATCCGACAAAATGCGTCGCCCTTTCTCTGCCCCACCTTTTCCACACCCCTTCTCCTCACCCCGCATAACACCCTTTTAGTTGCAAAACTGAGTGAGTAGAAATATCTATCTTATCTTTGATTGATTGAACTGCACCTGGAACATCTTTTTTCAGTCAGAACGATATGCTGAAACACACTATAGGATTTGTCATTCAATAGAACATCCGGGCATACAGTCTGGCCAATCACTTAAGATGTTAAATTAATAAAACACCCTGGTATTCTCTTTGGCCAATCTCTCAACAGCTTTTTACGTTAATGTGTGACTTTTCCGGTCTTGGAAATGACAAAACCCTATTACCGGCCATGTTTTAAGAAAGATGTGTCCGACATTCTAAAAATAGTAACATTACGTAGTGTTCTTTGACGTTTTCTGGTCTTAGAAATGACAAACCCTATTGAGATGGTGATTTATCATGTGACTAGCCCAGTGGTCGGCAAACACATTAGCCAAAAATCAGCAGCAGGACGACAAAAAAAAAAAATTGAGAGCCAAATTTCTTTGCAAGAACCTGTCAAGAACCATGTTTTTCGGAGTCGAAACCAATTACTGGACGAGCCGCACTCAGATCACTAAAGAGGCACATGCAGCACGCGAGCCGGGATTTTCTGACCACTGGACTAGCCAAATTTAAACACGTATATGTGTTGTAATATTGACCTCAAGCAATTGATTGACAGTTTGTTAATTTAACAGTGTAATAACAGATAATGAGCCAATCTTTGTCCCTTTTAATAAATTTATATCATCTCACTTGTTGGTCATCCTCTTGAATCAAACGAATTTTACCGCGGCACACCTAGCATCGTCTCGCGGTTCACTGGTTGCAGAGCTTGGACTCTAATTACAAACTTACCAATACTAAAGCTTAGACTTACACAAGGGCTAGCGCATGTGAAAATTCGTTATTTAAATTCACAATCTATATTATATTGTATAATTATCATAATTTATATAGACTATAGGTTGAGCTTGACCGTGTAATAAGTTACAGGCCTACACGCAATGCGAATATTTACCCCAATTTACGTGTAGGCATATTTATAATTCCTTTACGTTACTTTAAATTACATCATGACATTGTAGACTCGAGGACCAGTGAAGAAGTAAGAGTGTTCAAAATCTAGGCCGATCTTTTCCTTACTCCTTTTCCCAATATTATTGCAGAGCTTGGTACCCAGAGCTTTAACGAAGTCTTAAATAGTGCAACCCTACTGTTTAAATGTACTGAATATGTTTATTGTAATGGAAATGTTCATTTATATTAATAATTATTTAATCTTCTAATGACTAAATTAGTGCTCCAGCTCCCAGTAACACTCTTGAGCGGGTTGCAATAAGTCGTATTTTTAGCTCTTTTGCACACGGCTTTGTTGTTGTTCTGGGGCTGAGCCTGAGAGGAACTTGGTTAGCTCCGCCCATCGACGTTGATTGGACGATATAACGGGGCAAAGCTTCTCGCTTAACCGTGCTGGCTGGACTTCAGTAATAGAGTCGATGTGAAACCGTACGCAGTTGTTTCTTTGTTGTGCCATTTCTACACTGGTTTTTTTGCTGGAGGACTTTTTACCATTTTGATTTTAAGAAGATACATATCTGAATTACTTTTTACGTCCTATGAACCAGAGATGCAAAATGCTGTGCTATATTTCACAACCTAGATTAGGTCCTAATCGTCAGTGTACGGTTATTGAGACCGATATAGATCCCAAACAAATCGGACAAGTCCTCCTGGATAAGGTAAGTAGCCTACTTGGACTAGCACTAGGAAGCGATGTTTTGTTTACAAGAGTGAACTCAAATTAATTAGGGTTTTCATGGGGTAGATCAATCTTGATATAATTACAGTGTCTTATAATGCGCACATCGCAATTTATTCTTTTTAAAATAGTATACAATTTGTAATTGTAGATACATAAACCCTGAAAGAAAAAAACTTTAAAAGTGAAAACAGCATACTTGGCCCATCGCCAGCACTGATCATTGAGATAATGGCAATGGGGGGAATAAGTTTTCTTTGTTGACAAAGAAATTAAGTCTACTGCTACTACTAACTAATGATTAATGAATAATGTCAAAAGGGATCCAATCAATTGAAGTTGACCAACATTTGATTAAAAGTAATAGTGCAGATCAATACTTCTGCAACGACTAAGAGCCTTTTGCAGTGCACAAGAGAGAAAAGAAACATGACCCAATTCTCTGAATCTGACGTCATGATCAGCTGGAAGAGTAATGGCCTAACAGAGTCCAAAGTCCAATATCAGTGCGCTAATCAAGGTTAAAGGGTGCTGCTGAAACTTCTGCAGGATGTAAAAAGAAATTGTAACATTCGCTGAGTCTTAATGATACGATCGTCAATAATAAAGTGATAACAGTTAAATTTTCTTACATTGATTCATTGATATAATTTTAATTGTGGTAAATTGTAATGGAGAAGAAATTAATGTCAAATTAAAATTATTTTTGTAGTATAATAGTATAATCATTTGTAATAACCTGGCCTACTACTAATATTACTAGGCCAGGCCTATTCATTATTATTATTAATATTAATATTATTAATGATGATTAAATTATCAATTAGTCTAATTAGTAAATTAGCTTGAGTTATTAGTAGAATAGGCTTAGGTTTACTTTTCTTTTCATGCTGCATTTTACATTTAGAGAATATCAAAAACACTGAAAGGAATGGTCAATGGTAATCACTGGTAATGGGCAGTATATTTAAAACAAAATGATTAATGAATGCAGGATCAGAAGCTGAGAATAAATGATATGAATATGATCAAACTTTACGATTATGCTTTAGGCTTTAGGCATAAAAAAGTTATAAATGTAAGATGTCAAATCTTTTTGCTTATACTTTAGTTATACTTATAATCTACCCTAGTTTCAATGAAATGGTAATACTAATGTTCACTTTAGCTTTTAAACTTTAGCCAGCAGGGTGTTAGTTATGTATGCTACTATATTATAATTATATATGTACTGTGTAGTTAAAAAATTAATTGTCAAGCCACTTAAATTTAAAACTTAATCATATTTTAGTAACACATTTCTAGGTGTGAAATGTTGTGCAATATCTATTTCTAATGTCTATATAAATATAATATTATATATTACTGTCTTAGATCTTTTGACATTTTTTGTTACAATTTGTGTGCAATTATACTACGTTTTAAAAACCATAACATGACTTCATGTATTATTTATCAGGTCCTAAATAAACTGGGCATTTTGGAGGTGGACTACTTTGGACTGCAGTATAAAGGACCAAAGAATGAAGACCTGTGGTTAAATCTCCGAAATCGTGTCTGTGATCATGAAATTCATCGCTCACATTATGTTTACCGCTTTAGTCTAAGGGTCAAGTTCTTTGTAGCCCCTCATCTTGTACAGCAGGAAAGCACAAGGTGACTACATTTATTTTTTCAAAGCAACAGATTTATTGGCATTATTATTACTCAAACAAACATTAAAAATTGTTTGTTTTTTCATTCTGTGTTTTCACTTACATTTCTAGTAACAAGTAAATATAGTGGTTTTGACCCTTTCCTTCTTTTTATTGAGAATCTCCTTATTTTTTTTTACAGAGAATTGTTTTATACTCAAGTCAAAGATGAAATGTCGAAAGGATTGATATCACTGACAGAGCCAGAATGTGATAAGTCTAAGCTGGCAACAATTGTGGCACTAATCACCCAGGCAGATTGTGGGGACCAAACTGGCAATGAATATCAGAGAACTGTTTATGCACAGGTTAATATCTCCTATTTAGTTCAGTTGGTTAATTTTCAACTTTGATAAGATGCATATAATTTAAAGGAAATTTTATGACTAAATTTATACAATTAAAAACAAACCTAAGACTCGTTAGAAAGTTTAGCACTTATATCATTCAACTTTATTGTTTGTGCCTTTCCAGATTCTGAAAGAAATTTGCCCAAGCTATGAACCAGACACTTCTATTCTTGAAAATGTCCACACACTGCATTCAAATTTACGGGGTATGTCTACTGGCAGTGCTCGCTATAGAATGTTAAAAGAAGTCTCAACACTATCCAGCTATGGTGTGGAGCAACACAAGGCCATGAACTCTCAGGGGGAAGAAGTACTTTTCAGAGTTGGCCCTGATGGAATAATGTTAACCGAAGGCAGGGCAAACATTGTGAAAATGTAAGCATGAGTTATTATTAATATTATAATGTTATTTAATTTTCAAACGCTTTGTTGTGCCTAATTGCTAAATGGAATTAGTGTGCCTCTAAGTATACATTAAATGCGTTTTTTACGTTTATCAGCAGTATTTAGCGTTAGTTAATATTAATTATTAGTGTTGGTATGATCAGTGTTTGTGTTACCAGTGTTTGTGTTATGGGTGTGTGGTGTTAGTGTTTGTATGACCAGTGTTTGTGTTATGGGTGTGTGGTGTTAGTGTTTGTATGATCAGTGTTTGTGTTACCAGTGTTTGTGTTATCAGTGTTTCTAATTGCATCTAAGCATTGGATTGTAAGTAATAACTGAAGGATTTTTTCCTTCTAGGTTGCCTTATACCCAAATCAGATTGGCTACTCACAATGAGAAAGTGGTTCGCATTGAGCTTATTAATGATGCAGGAGAAACAGAGAAGGAAGAATGCTTCAAGCTGATAAGCAGTAGGGCGGCTGTTGCTCTCTACCGCTGCATCACAGAAATGCACTCTTTTTACCGGTGTGATACCATCTGTTCAGACGTCCAATCACAATACTGCAGGGACTTCAGAGGAACTTTTGTCTCCATTTTCAACGAGAATTCAGATTTAGGTAAATAAATAACAAATATTTCAAGTTTTATGTCTTTACATCTTTAAAATAACAAAAGGACATTTTTAAAATAATGTCTTTTGTAGTGTATACCTCGTTAATGGCTAATACAATTATTTTTCAACAGTTTATTTTGCTACACATTTAAGAGCTCTGATGAACCTTAAATTCCTTCAAAACATGGCTTAGCTTAAAAAGAAAAATAATTGTAAAAAAGAAATAAGTAAATTAAGTGCACAAATATTTACTCATTTTTCTTCAGGGAAACGCTACATCTTTGACATTCAGCGCACAAGGCAAGAGGCTTATGACTATGTTCGAAGGCAGCTTTATGCCAGTCCTGAAGCAAGTCCCGCTCACTGTGGCTATAATGTTCCTGTGTTTCAGTTTGATGACCACGAGTTAGGAACACTGGAGAAAACTGACGTTACTGGGAGCAACATGAACTTGGAAAGAGATGTCAAGGTGAGCTTAGATAAAGTAGGCTACCGTGACAGTAAACGACTGATGACAGAAACAACTCAGCTTCTAAAACATATTTCCAAAACATGATTTTGTATCAATACCGATTCATAGTTTTACATTTTTGACAACAGACTGGCTTATCGTTTTTTTTTATCGTTCAATAATTTTCATGTGTATTAAAAAAAAAAAATGAAAGGGGTTGTTTTAATTGGCACGCAGCCAAGATTAATTGTGCAAAAACTGATAGAAATTTGTATAAATGCTAATTTTTTTTTTGTTTAAATCCCTCTGAACAGCTTTTGAAGGAAAGAATTGAGGGCTTGCAGGATGCACTTCTGTGCTGCATTTGTATGGACAAAATTGTTTGTGTTGTGCTGTGTCCCTGTGGTCACATGACATGTGAAGAGTGCTCCAAGTGCATCGAAAATTGTCCACAGTGCCGAGCGGGTGTCGAGAGGTTTCAAAAAGTCTTCCAAGATTTTGGTTTTCACCGTAGAAAAGAACAACAAATAGTGTGAGCTCTTGTTGTTTTTCGAATATTGTTATGATTAATCACCACAGTCATTCATTGAAGACATAGCAACATTTTCCTCGTGAGTTCAGGCCTAATGTGAGGATTTATTCCTGAACGTTTGACAATTTTTCTAAACCAGTCAGGCTCACATTCCTCGGATGATTAAAAAAATGGATTAAATTTTCCTTAACCTATGGTGACCGTTAAGAGTGACATTTACTACGTGATGATTGGCAGCTAATAATTGTGACATTTATAAAGAAGACATCATAGCAGATTACAAGCTTCAAGAATTGAAATTCAAAAAATTCAAAAAAAAATTTTTCCTCAATGGAATTTGAAGCTCAGCATTGATTTGGTTTTGAAAAGAAAAGGCAAGTCATGTTTTTCATTGATGTGATCTTTCATCCCATGATTTGGAATATATATTTCATGGGACATTTTTATGCTCATTGGCATTATATGTATATAAATTACCATGTCGGCTTTTTAAAAAAAAACTGTCTTTCATATGTGGCATATGGGTTTTTATATTCATAATTTTCACAACACTGCTAAACTCACACTGACCTGCCATTTTGTCCCACCATTTTATCTTATTAAAAAAACTTTACAGGTCTTATAATATAGTATTTTAATTCAGCATCTCGAAATTTCTAATTTGTTTTAAATTTAGCATCTGTTGCTTTATTTTTCTTTTTTTTAACTCGTCTCAAAATTTAAGCTGGCTTAAAACATTTTGATGTGTTTAAATTTTAAAATTAATTCACTCTTTTAGGTTATAGCACTTCATAAATCATTTTGTCAACAATGATTGTGTAAATATAGCACATTTCATTTTTACCCAAAGTGATATCAATGTCTAGCCTCATTAAAATTGTATATAATTTTCTGGCCATTCCTTAAAAAGTAAACTTGTAAAAGTTTTGAGGTTTTTTTTAAAAGTGTCACAATTTTAAAGTTTAAAAAATTTCAGGTTTTAATTTTATTAGCTTTTAAAGTAAAACAGGAGAGATCGGATATGATATCTTAGTTATTCAACTTAGCTTCTTCTTCTTATATTTGAGGGGCCCACGATCAATTTGTTGATCATTCCGGCTCCTGGTTTAAATTCAGAGTTTGCCTTCTCAGTTTGGGTGGTATCAGAACTGGTTTATCCTTCAAATGTCTAAGAAACTTGACCATGTTGTTTTTTCAAATATTTTAATAAAATAGTAGTAAAATTTATTTGAATGGCTGCAAATTTGATAAAACGGATGTAAACTTGTAATAGAAAGCTTCACTTTTACACCTCAATAGAAATGGGGTAATGCGAAATGGGATGAAATAAAGAGGTGTTTGAGAACCTTTGGTTTAGGTGTAAGCAAGTTGTGAAGCAAAGGAGCAGTTACTTTGTGAAAAACAGGAATAATCTACTGTGATAGAGCCATTTGGTTGTTTTTATTTAAATTGTAATGATCATTAATTATTTCAAATGTTTTCTTTATGAATAGATAATTTTTTAGATTGGGGAAGGGAAAAGACTTTTAATCTGAATTTTTTTGTTTGTGTAAATGAGAAACTTGACACCAGTTAAAAAGTGCAAAGTAATTTTTTCAGAGCAATACATTGCTTGGTTCAAAAAGAAAATTACATGATTTTTTTTTTTTTTTAAATTTAAAATTTACCTCTACCTAAACAATATTCTTTTAATGAAATTTGCTCCAAACATTTTCCAAATTTTGCCCTCAACATTATCCATGATATTTTACTGTAACATATGCGGACAGATTATTAACATTTTGTATTGATTTTTATTTAACAAATGAAATTTTCTCCCCTACTTACAACTTGATGTTTACAACAAAAAATCTGTATCTTAAGACTTAAAAAAAAGAGGGGGGGGGGGGGGGGAATTCTGTTGAAATAATGTCATGATATTTGGGGTGTGACCATACAAGAACATTGATTTGTATCACTGGTATCAAAATATTTTCATCAATTCATTTAAATTTACTAAAATAAATCTCCATGCAAACATGTGAAACCTATAATTTTTGTTTTTGGCCTAATTATCAGCGAACATGAAATTATCTTTCATTCTGCCACCAGTTTTATCTAGCCTGTATTTGCAGTTACCAGGTTCTTTATTTAAATTATAATGAAGCTATTCTTTAATTTTAAAAAAGGACAACATTAACCCTTACCTATCATTTCTCCACCAAGCTGTAAGCATGCTTGAACAAAACTCTAAGGTCTACAGCACTTAAAACCTAATTTTTAAAACTAAAGATTTAAAAGAATGCTTTTTTTAACAAGTGTGTTCTTTTGTGTTCACCGTGTACAGTATTAGTACATCATCAACATTGACACACACCTAACTGGATTACCATGGGCTTTCAACCTTTACTTGTGAAAGCTGACAATTTTGCACTGCTATCAACTATCATGCCATTTATCATGCCATGACCATTTATTGATATTAATTATACCATTGTTGACAAACAAAAAATGCCTTAGTGAGCTTCACCTTTGCTTTGCTCTTGTTCATACTGTTGTTGTTTAACAATGTTTTGACCGACTTCTGTATATAAGAACTTAAGCATTATTTGTCGGAGAGTTTTGTATATAATGTATAGCATTCATAAAGCTATGTTGGCTGTTGTTTTTTTCTTCTCCTCAGAGTTTAGCAACAGGCTACGTGAGATAGAGTTTTATTGAGATTGAGGATACAGTATATCTATATTTTCTTATCTAGATTTTATGTCAATTTTCAACTAATAAAAAATGTCAGTGGAGCTTGTGATGAATGCTTTTAAAAGCCAATGTCAAGGACTGACTATTGACCCAGACTCAAATTTTTGTGAATGAGGAACTATTTCTTATTGCCAGTATCATGCTGCCTCTGTCATCTCTTTGTAACGGAATTATTGGCAAACTATAATAAACATATCATCTACTACTACTACACTCCATATTCCATAAACTTTTGTCTTTCAAAATGGGTGATGACAGTTAGCAGTGTCTATCTCTCTGCTTATCTTATAGATTTAAATATCTGTTTTTATTGGTGTGCTAAATAATGTCTTGAGAGTCTGGATCGATGGCAGTGATAAAACTATAAATAGTAAGGCTCTAGGCAAAGAGGGTAGAATAGTCAAATAATGCATTCTAAATTTTTTTACCATTCCTCAAATTGACAAATACCTGTTATAAATATAAAACTTGCATTTTTTGTGTGAGATGTTTTAAATACAAGTTATTGTCAACTGATAATATACCTACTGGTATCTTTTAAAGGATAACTTATCCCACACAAAATCTCTTTGAATAATTGACAACCAGCTAAACTGACACAAGGACAATGCTGATCTGGGGACCTGCCAAGAGGTGGGTTATAGCCGTGTCAACACCCTGTCAGTGATTTAAATTTAAGGGCCAGTAGACAGTGTTTTACTACCTCGGAGTCTTAGATTCTGATTCCAACTCTGAAAACGTTATTTTAATGTATTTTACCATATAATTATAAGCAGGATTACTGATCTTTTAATGACAGCTGGGAAGTCTTAGATTTATACTGTTGAAAAAATTATTATGATTGTTGTAATCCAATTTGTTGACACACATTTACTCAGTGGGCCAACTAAAACAATGAGTACTCCCTGTAAAAAAAATGACTATATTATTAAAATGCTTTAAATTGAACATTGAATAAATCATTTGTAAACATTGAATTCAACTATTATCTTTGGTTTTTTGTTGTTTTTTGTAATAAGTTCTTGTATGTAAGGAGACAGAAATAATACTGTATGATGGAAGATGAAAGGAGATGTCAGAACTAGGATGGAAAATATTAGTAATGTCATAAATAAGATGTAAGAAGATTTATGCTGATAAGATGAAAGAAGCCAGTAGACATCATCGTCTACGGGAGTGTGGGGCTATGCTGTATGCCGTGTGGGGCTATGCTGTATGCCATCTGCTCTTTTTTACCAACACATTTGACCTTTTGTGAAATTCATAGGTCGGCACAGTGTAACTTCTGAGGTCGGCACAGTGTAACTTCTGACTAAAGTTTAGGACTACATCAGTGTAATACAGTTACAGAAGTAGTAATAGTAGTTACAGGGATTTTTATCATAAATCATACCCCTTGCCTACCCTACCCCTAAGATTGTATGACATGATATGAGTAAAACAAAATATGGGAAAACCTGAAAAAAAAGGAACGCAACAAAACAACGAATGAACATGTCGACAGGAAGCCTTCGTAGGCGAACAAACAAAAGAAAAAAACTGAATTTAAAAAATAGCACTTGACTGAAAAGTAGTACCAGGTATCCGAGAGGGCAGCTAAAGAATTGTAGTTACATTTACATACACACAAGTTCATACCCCATTCTTACCCTGAGATTATCATGACATACACATAAGTATCATACCCTGTGTTTACCCCTGAAATTATAATTACGTACACACACATATCATCAAAAATTGTGTGTGTGCACTTTACCCGACTGTTCTAAATTTAGACATGTTAAAATGCTGCGCATGTTACCTTCCTATTTTCTTTAAAAGTTTCAAACCATTTGATTGGTTACCTGGATGAGGGACATACATGAACTTGCTTTTAAAAGCGGTACCCTGACCTGGACCTGGGCGTAAAAGAGACCAGGTGGTAGATACCTGAACTGTATGCATGAGTGAACGATAGGAACTATCAAGTCAGTATTCCCCCCCCCTCCCCCCCGTCTATTAATAACCTAGAACGGGTTAGGGACCAAGCTTTCTATCTGGTAAATAGTGGGTCATGCTTTTCAGGTGCTGGAAGATAATGTATTCTTTTTTTTTTAGATGAAATTTTTAATGAGTGGTATTTTGAGATATCCCAGCCCAATACCCACGGGAAGGGGGCGCTGTGACATGCATAGGCGTATGTGGCAAAGGGTTACGACATGTCTGACATGCATAGGCGTACGTAGCAAAGGGTCACACCACGTCCTCGCACAGGTTTTGACACTCATTCTCCTCCCTGCCCCCATTTTTCTTATTGGACACCGAACACAAAGACATCCGTATCCAGGTAGGCCCCTACCCATCTCTGTGTGTGCCCTACTACACTGAGTGGGGTCAAGTATGGTTCACAAGATATCAGCACATTTTTTTTTATCTTTCTGGTCGTAGGGTTAAGTACAAGTTTTGTATGAGTGGGTTGCATAATGTAACCACTGGTGTGGAGGGTGAGGGAGTCCTCGTCTGGACCAGGTGTAGACGCAGGCTAGCAGATGAAGTAGCTGGGGTGATACTAGTAACTGGGGTGGTGCTAGTAACGGGGGGTGCCAGTAGCTGGGGTGGTGCTAGTAACTGGGGTGGTGCCAGTAACTGGGGTGGTGCCAGTAGCTGGGGTGGGGCTAGTAACTGGGGGGGGGCTAGTAACTGGGGGGGG